GATTCGTATCCGAGAGTGGTGAAAACCGAACTTACAAATTACCTTGTACACTTTGAGCCCAGAAATCCGTGGCTCTACAAGCACAATAATGTCAGGTTTTTAGGCTTTAACAATGGATTTCGAAACAGGGGGAAATTTGGGGTCTGCCGCCCCTTGACAATTCCAACCGAGAATTGACTTGGAAAAAGAACGAAAAGGGATTAGAACTCCATGTTGGAGCCATCAGAATCCGTCTCCTCCTAACAGTTTCAAAAGCATCATCTTGCTTACTCACAGGTTAGAGCATATGTTTAACTATTTCATGTGAGAGGGACTACTGTCAGGATGCCTTCTTAGAAGACGGTCGGGTTGGATTCCACTTTTAACCTCAAAAAAAAAAAAAAGAGAGAGAATGGGGCTGTTCTTTGGGCCGAGATTTTAAATTTTTAACAGAGGTTTTCTTTGACGAGCGAAAGTTCCTGGGCTTGGTTAGGAGTTGGGCCAGGGGGGCCTAGTTATGACTTATGAAGGGATCGCCTTGTTCCGGAAGATGGAAATGGAATCGGGAGAAGGAGCAGGCACGGATTTCTTCATAGAATCTGCCACAAGTAGGGGGCTAGGGTTCAGCTTCCAAGGACCGAGCGAGTAAGATTTTTTTTTGGGCTTTAGTATCTTGCTCTGGTTCACTCGCCATGGAGGATTGCTACTCAAGCGCCGTTGTAACAGTAGGATTCTGGGTGATGATCGGAATGCTTGCGGCCACATGCTTCTTCAGTGTGGCTATAACGCCCATAGTGATAGCAAATTGTTGGGAAGCCCTCTTATTCAATGCATAAGGTTCTTCCATCAATATCAGGTCCAAGCAAATCAATGACCACAGCCGCTCTAGCGTAGCGAACTTACCTCTATCTCCAGGGTCGGTAGTGCTGTAATCGATTCGGATCACGTCTCCTAGCACTTTCTGGATTGTTCTGACACGTTTTTCTTGTAACATTGAGCATGCGGGGCCTGCAGGTAATCTGATCCACCCAATGACTTGAGTGATCTCTAGGTTTTGAGGAGAGAACTCAAGAGTCCAACGATGAAATGTGAGATAATGACCAATGAAACAGTCTCCTTCAATGCCGGAAATCTTAAAATGGGCCAAAGGGCTTCCACAGCATCGTAAGCTTGATCCTAAAGTCTTGGTACCTAATACGGCTTCATAGCATCTTGGCAACAATAGCGGATTTCATGCTTTCATTTCAAATCTCAAAACAGCGGATTCTTTTAGAGAAAGTAATCGATGATACGAGGCCAGTCTTGGTGATTGTGCAGTCCTCTTCACGAACTACCAGCCCAACCTGATCTCAGTCTAAATCATTTGAGTTTCCAAGTTAATGCAGGGAAGTGCCGATATGGTGTGAAGTTTCATATTCAGCTGCTTGTAGAAGGGCCGGAGGGCATGCAGATTGGGGGGCTGCATGGATACGGGAAAGATCACTTGGACATGTTTTAAAACCCGGTGTTCTTCAGAGCCCCACCAATTTGGATTATGTCTGCTGCAGTGCTGCTCCTGCAAAACTCCGTCAAATCAGAAAAGCCCCTATTTGCGAGCGTGCCGAACAATACCAAGAGAAATGTTAAGATAAAACCAAACTATAATTTAAAAAATAACTTCTGAAAAAAAAGTTATTTATAAAAATAAATTTTGTGAGAAAGTGATTTTGATAAAGTAAGAATGTTTGGATAGTTATTATCAGAAATACTTTTTATATGTACAAATTATTAAAAAAGGCATAAGTTAATATAATGATTACATAAAAAATAGATTTTATAATATATTTTAATTTGAAGAAATAAATTTGTTAATAATATAATTTTTTACCAACATAATTAATAATATATAAGAAAATATAATTAAGAAATAATTAATATGTGTATATATATTTATAAAAGATAAGATTAAATATGTTTATAGAAAAATAATTATTTTTTCATATCATTAATTGAATAATATATTATTAAAACACTTGTGAAGAACCGAAGCACCAAAGGCAAAAGGAAGCTTACAATTAAATAATTAAATATGGGATGTTTTTGTTTATATATTCTCCGACAGCTGTAATCATCACACAACGGTTCTCAAAATTTTGTCCAAAAACAAATTCATTTTGCTTTTTTGGAAATCCTGGTTTCGGCCAAATCACGGTTTGGCATTTTTCCAGCTGTTTGGCAAATATCTTATCCAAAACTTGGTTTGGGTCCAAAAAACAGTTTTAGCAAGTTTGCCAAACAGCCTAAGTGTAAATAATGGGCCAACCATAGCTTTTAATAGATCAGGACAGTTGCATTCCTTTTCATTCGGACTGTCATGGATGAGTTTGTATGGGAACTCAAATAGGTTTGATTAGTGGGCTAGAACAATTCCTATCCATCTGCCACTTCTGAGTACGTGGATTATTCCTTTATCCAACCAGCACTGTCCATCCGCTAATACATCTACATTAATCCATCCAATGTGAGTGGGAAAACGGCCCTAATAAAATGCACTTCTTAAGATTTTCACTTGTGCAATATTATTCTCGTTTTTTGGAATGAAAACTGAAGCAGCACTGAAACACTTTGCGGAAAGAAACCCAGAAAATAATCTATTCTAAATCCTCGTCATTCATCAGTAAAGCAAGACCAAGCATGATCAGAAGTACGCAAAAAATTATCTGAGCCGTAAGCTAGTTTAGACAAACGATCAACCTTCCAAAACTGTTTTCTATGGTCAAAAAAAATATCGAACTATTCCATTCCCTATTAAACAAGAGCCTAGCTTCCTCTATTGCGTCAAAGTGATCTCTCTCAGCTTCCATAGTGAGAGCTGATTATTGCCTGAGCACAACCCATGACCACTTGAACATCTCTTACATTTGCGTTCCCTTAATCACGCCTTTAATAATCTCAGCAATAGCAGGGAACTGATATTACGGAAATCAAAGGGAAAATAATTCACCCATTCATCAAATTCACAGAATGATTCACTTCTAAAAAGGAAGTAAGAAAGGATTGATGGGGATGGTGAGGCCAATGAGATTAAGGCCGACCGAATCGGATTTTGTTGGTGCCCACGTGGATTTCACATGGTCTCCATCTATCATAGTCATGGGTCACTCTCAAAAATCCCCGGATCTCTCTTATGGCCCACACCTACGCAGACTTGGCATTTGTTCTCATTACTGCTTATAGTATACGTCTCGAGAATGTTTGGATAAAAATCAAACTATTATTTTAAAAATAATTTTACAGTACACGAAATAAATATACAGAGAAATTTATTTTAATTTGTAAAAAAATACTTTTTAAAAGTATTTTTATAGTTTACCAAACACCTCCTCAGCCTCACTCGGTTTTCTTCTGCCTGCTCCCTCCCCCCCCTTCTCTCTCCAATCCTTCAAAGCAGGCAACTTACCTTTGTTTTCTTATACTCACCTCGTTTGCTAAGATTAAAGATGCCTCCTGCACATATTCACGCTTCGTGGGCATGGATTAGATAAACAACTAATTAAAGTACTGATGAATCATTCTGCATGTCTTTTCTTCATTCCCAATACTTGATAAGCCTATCTCATCTTGAGATCATGTAGGGGTTAGACTAGCTGGTACGTAGTAGGGACTAGGGACACATTCCCGTGGGAACAATGTATCATTCATGTCGCTATGCCCTGCAACATCAGGGTCAATGTTTTGAGATTACTGATCGTGCAAGAATAAGAAAGAAGCTAGCCAAGTGCTCAATGAAGAAAAAAGCCTTAAAAAGAAAAAGAATCCTGCAGACCGTGCAGTATATTTCTTCTGCAGAATGCAAGCAAATGACAAGCAAATGTAGCTGATCTCTGTGAGACGGAGGGGGCTCTCGCCGCCTACTATTTATCAACCAGTCCAAGGTAGCTTATAGACCATCCACAGTAAGAAGATGGTACGAGACTCCTAATACAGGCCATCCACAGTAAGAAGATAGTACGAGACTCTTAATAATTCAACTCATCATTGTACCACCCGCTCTGCTTCTTTCCTTCAAAATTATTAGCAGGCTGTATTGACAAGAAGTGACGTGACTGACTTCAACCAAAATATGTTTATTATTATGGAGTACACAAAGAGCTTATCAAATATGCCCGTGCATACTTGTTGGTCTTATAACAGCAATATCTGACTCGGTCATCATTTACCTCACACGTATGGAGAACAAAGAGTTGATGCATGCATATGGTAGCCCCTCACGAAGCTGTACAAAAGTAGGGGTGGTTTTCAAAGTTATAGTCACCATTTTTGCATAGCAGAGATGAACCTAAATTAAGACAAGTATATCATATATTGACAGAGAACCTTCATACACATCCGCCGTGACAAAGATTTTATGAATTCCTTTCCAGCAATCGAGATTTTTGCAACTTGGCTCAGCAAAGCAAAGAAATAACAAACACACTTGGCCAAGTTTACAATGTTCAAATGACAATTCGAGTATGAAGATTATGGAACACTTCTGAAATGTTACAAGAAAAACTTTTTCCTAGGGGTTTTTTTTTTGGGGGGGGGGTTTATAGATCACAAATAAGACTAGCACGTAACAAAATTATTTGCAATCACACACAAAGGACAAAAATAGTTAGTAGAAGTGGGGATTTTATATAAAGCAGAATTTTTCCTTGAAAAATGCATATATATTCAGGAGCATACCCCACTAGAAAGTTAAAATTTCAGCAATTGAATAACTGATCCCTAATGAGTGAAATATGCAAGAGCTTTTGCAACATCAGATTAAAATTTTATTGTTCATCAGTGAGGGTGGCCGTCTCTGATCCAGTCTGAATATTGTAATTGATATGGCTACATCTATATTGGTTTGACTTTCCGCGTCCGAAAGTATTGAATTTACTATTCAGAGGCTCTCAAGATCAAAGGTCTTATGTCCAAATACATGCAGTCCACCACAAGAATGATTGAACACAGGCCAAGATATTTACAAATAGCAATTTAGTGGTAAACACTCACCATTTGTCCACTTGATTAGATTTTGAAAAGAAGAGCTAACCATAATGTTGTATTCATCTAAATGTTTTTCTCTATACGCACATCTATCCAGACCCTTCTGGCAACTACCTACTTCCAACTCATTGAGAGTCACAATGAAGAAGCATTGTGCTTTTTTGCTTTTGTCAATGCCAACAACCCAAAAAAAAATCCTTGAGATCATTTCTTCCCTTGCACATCATATCTACTAGCACAACCTGTCTGCTAAGAAAACCTCACTCATCAAACACCACGAAAAGCAACCAAAAATGAAGGTAAGTCTTAACCTTGACAGTTTAGAATGGAACATTTCTTTAATCCTTCAACTTTATCACTTCCTTTCCTTCTTGCAGTTATTTCAGTGGGTGCACCGAAAGTTTCGGCAGAATAGTATCGAACCTTTCAAGGATTTCACATTTGGTATTTCCACTTCTCTGTCTCTCCGATGGTTCTCCTGTTCTTTCCCCAAGAGGAATTGGGGGGGGGGGGTGAACATGTAAAAGGATCTTTAGGGAATGCATTTATTTAATTTTAGAGTAAATTAACACCAGTTCACTTCAGCACAATTATGATATCCGTCTGACTTGCAATCATTGATTAATACAATTGCACCATAGCACCTACTAAATTGGCTTTACTAAGCGGTGTCACCATCTGTAATAATAATCAAACTACAAATTTCCAGCTTCAAGATGATGAAGTTGAAATTAGGTGGTTCAAGAATAGGCATTTTGAGCTGCTTCGTATTCAGATACACTCGTGTGTTAGATAAAAACAGGCTTGCTGTCCACATTTCCCCATGTTACAGTAGTTTTAATTCTGAACTGCACGAGTGATACAATGGCAGTGTTCCTCTTTCCAACGTACAAAAGCAATAAGAAAGAAACCAGCGTGCTTTGATTTGGCAAGTCAAAAGATTGTGTATGCATGTTTTAAATTGCTAATCTTCTGGTTCTCACCAATATCTTTATTTCTTTTGCAACTCTAATTTCAGGAAACCCTTGTTGCCTTACAGTGCAGCCAACACTTGATGAGCTACACCACTATACAAATCCAGGCTTCAAATTCACAAGCCAATCCAGATCCTTAAAGCCAAACCGACAGGAAAGTCAGACATCTCATTCTGAATTTGAAGACAACAGAGATGAAGAGAAGTCCCAAGAAGAAGCATCTACTGTCATCCCTGAGCTGTTCCAAGGCTTTCTCACAATAGGAACTCTTGGTGCAGAAACAGTCACCAATGAGCCAGCAACACCGACATTTACCATACCTCGAGAAAACACGTTTGAGAGAAATGCTGAGGTGACAGAGAGTGACCTGAAACTCATTAATTATGAGCTAGGGAGGTTTCTTGAGGCTGAAAAAGAGGAGTTCTATGAATCATCGGGAAGAAACAGCCATGTCAGCGCTATTACACTTGGTGGAAAGCAAATTGATGCAGCTGAAGATGAAGATTACGGAAACACATCTGTATGTCCACTCCAAGGATATTTACTTAGATCATCAATTGAACTTCCAGAGACAGTAACAGAAGTAAAAAAAGAGAGGGCATCACTTGCGGAGCTATTTCATAGAACCAAGATAACAAATCAGGGCATTATAGAGACAGGAGAAACCGGAGAAACACAACTCAAGCAAACACATCGGTCTTCCAAGCATATTATGAGCAAACTGTTGAAAAAAGTCAACACTTCTTCAAAAAGCTGGAATACTTCTGAGAATGATGCGAAATCTGCTTCAACCAACAAGAAACTCTCAAAGGTTGGTCACCAATACTAAATCTTCTGGACTGCCTTTTACCACAGATTCAATGGTTGTCGCAATCATCCCTTGACAATTTGCTTTGCATCTTAAGAACAAACAAACAAAAGAACATAGAACTGCATGTTCATCTCTTTATCATTGCCAGTTTAGTTAGTCACACAGAAAGGTACATGAGTTTAAGAATATAAGACACAATATATCCAAACCAGTTAATGCGAATTGTCTTATCCTCAAATTATCAGTCATAAGTTGCCAATAATGACAAATTAATAGGTTGCTCGTTTTGGTTGAGAATCAAGTGCTGCGCTGGACATAAAGGAACATCAAAATAAGATCATCAAACTTCCAAATTTATATTTCAACAAAAAGAAATTCCAAATTTATAGAACATCAACCGGTCAGACTTTAAATAATATGCACTGTGCAGAGAATGGTCTGGTGCCAATTGATCTTCCAGGTCAGGAAAGTCCTAGTAGCTGGCAATTGCAGCAAAAACCTTTTAATCTTGAAATCAATGACAAATTCAATATGAACATTTTTACTATCTCTGGTTTTTAATATAAGATCTTATTTGACTTTTATTTTGGTCCTAAATATAAGACTCCAATCCACTTTGTCTTTTATATTTATTCATTTTTTTCCAGTATAGTCATTCTAATAATAATAATTCTAGCAAATCAACTTGATTAGCAAATATATTTTAGAAAAAATAACACCTGTTTATTACAAATAACTAACTTTATTTATTTTTTTATTCTACTTAAATTAGTCAACTAGCTCTTATTTTTAAGACCAGAGGTAGTATATTCAATGTATACCAAATCAAATTTACAGTTTCGCTAAAGTATTTTGTTCATTGATCTCGGATATGCAGGTTTTACGTATTTTCCACAGAAAAGTACATTCTGAGAGTTCCATGAATGCAAAAACTACAGGGTCTCAAAAAGGTAAAATCAAGAATGTCCTAAATGATTGCTTTCACGGATATGATACTGGCGACCCCATTCACCCAGGCAAAGGCAGAAATTTTCCATCTGAGTGCAAATCAGAAAAGTGGTCCCAACACGGTAAGAAAAGGATCCCACCAAAACGTGGGCTGACTAACGGCGGCTCAAGTAGAAAGAGGGAGTGCTGGATCAAGACAGATGACGAGTGTAAGTGTTTCTGGCATGCACCTCACTTACTCAAACACTCAATAATAGTCTTCCTTTTCCTCTTTATTTCAGCATTATTGTGAGTAGTCCCGAAATCACCACCTTGACTACATAGAACGTCAAAATCTTAAAGGAATGCCGCGCTGATACAAATTCTTTTACTTAATAGTTATCTCAGACAACCGTGTTTTGAAATCATTTCTGTTTTCCATCATGTTTACCCTAACCTCCCAAAGCATTGTCAAGAAAACCAAACACCTTATCGATTTCGAGGAAAATAATTTCCCCTCTATATAATAGTCAACATGACACGCTAAACTCTGAATGTAATTTGAGATCTATGATCCTCCATATCTCAAACCAAATCCTCAACGAATTTTCCACAATCCTTATATGAACTAATACATTCTGGAGCATGATAATATCTGTAGGATTGCCAGATAAGAAGATGACATCTTTGTATTTTGGCCCATTTGTAATTGTTGGTATTGCAGACTTGGTGCTGGAGTTGTAGAAACTGAAGCTTCAAGAAAATAATCACGCATCTATACTGAATAAGAGAGAATCTTCAAGCTAGTATCTCATAATATGGTAGTGTTATGCATCTAAGTTTGAGTGGGAAAGTGCTTTTGCGTATTGTGCTCGATATGATATATTCTGTGTAATATCCTTTGCTGTATGGAAACAAAGGCTTGAGTTTCATTAAAGCTTTGTAATAAGTAAACTAGATTTGGCTACTTTTGCAAGTTTGCCATGGACTACTAAAAATCATTCTTGCATTTATAAATCCTGACACACACACACCCGCCAGTTATTTCCTCAATCTACTTGACAAAGACTTTAACATCATAAATCTGCAATGGTAACCCCATTATCACTCTTTTTAACTGTCACGGAATTGCAAATCAAAATGAAAGAGTGGTGGATTATAATAATGCTTTGCATGATAATATTGTTATGATAAAGAAGGTGATCAATAAGCATGTCTGATTTTGCTACCACCACCTTCATCAAGCTAGACGTTCTCACTTTAAGCAGTAAGTCGCCCGAGCTCAAAATTAAAAATAACCGACTTCACATAAGATCATTAATTGACTTCACTGCTCAGAAGTGTAATGTCATACCCAAGAAGTGGGAGCAAACTCTCCCCCTTGTAGAGGGGACTAGTTAATATAAGCCAGCGAAAAAGATTGTCTGTCACTCCAATAAATAGTTTTAAAGTCGATGCTAAAAATTTATTACCTTCAGCTTTCTTTAAGAGATTCCAGCAGGAGCATAAAGCATAGAAGGTGAAGCGGAAGACATGCACAACCATAGGATGCTGAATAAGCAATATGAATATTTTCAGATTTTTCAAAGATTAGCAACTCGTCCTTAACATTCCACCACCCCAACCCCACCATCGTTCTATTAGCCTACTCCAATTTTTCTGTAAGAGCTAGTTAGAAATATGTTGTCATTGTATGATGTGTAAGCTATGTTTAAAATAATTGATTAAAGGAATGTTAGGACGAAAGGCAAACAATAATTTTAAAAAAAAATTTACAACATATGTGAGAAAAGTTTCATTTTAATTTATGCAAAAAACACTTTTAAAAAATGTTTTTTAGTTCAGCCAAACGCGTCCTAAAAAATTTTTAGAAAAAGACACATGTTTTTAAATTATAAATAATTAACTTATTGTGTGAATCAATGCCTACTTTCACGTGCTTCCCAATCTGATCAATGTAGCAGCATTGGCAAAAGCAAAGAAAGAAATGTGCTAGAATTATTTGAAAGAATAAATTAAATGATTTATATCCCTAAAATCAAATAGACACAAGTCGTGCACGACTGCACGGTGTCCACAAAATTCTTAGCCGAAACAGTTGCCTAGAGATTCCGAAGGAAAGGTAAAATGAAGAAAGGATAACCAAAACTAAGAGGCAGAGAAGCAGGGGCTCGCCAACCGAAACATGAGAGAAACTGAGTGATCAAACAAATGACATCTGTGTGAATTCTTGGGAACTCAACCAGGAAGAAAATATAAATTGATGAATGATACAGTATCATCAGGGCTTTCGAGTGTCATAATAAACAATAAAATGGCAGAAATAAGAAAAGCAAAAAACTTGCCTGGAGAATGATACGGGAGGTGGGGAGAGAAAGGGGGGTGAGCTCGCCATTACCAAGAGGAAAGCTACTGGCTTTGCGCGCTCTCTTTTTCAAAGAGACATTGATGAACAGACAGAAATTCTTGCTTATTCACAGGCCAACACGTCTAAGGTATGGAGAAAAGAGAGAATGACGAGTGTGTTTGGTTGCAGGGAAGGGAAGGGAAGCAAAATTTTTCGTCTTCTTTGCTCTCCTCCCCTCCGAATAGGCCTGAGCAAACGGTTATTCGGTTCGGTTAATGAAGGTAACCGAAATAACCGAAAACCGAACATATCATAATTTTGAAACCGAACCGAAACCGAATGTAATGAACTAACCGAACCAAAATAACCGAAATATATTCGGTTCGGTTAGTGGGCTTGTTCGGTTAGTGGGCCCTTTTTTGGGTTTTTTGGGCTTTTTTTTAAAAACGTATTATACTAATTTGGAATGCCAAAAAAAGAGTAAATAGTAAGATTATGAACTTTTTAGGCTTCGTTTGGACAATGAATTTAAATATTTGAAAGGTGTAACAAAAGTTCTAGATTCCATACATATATTACTAATAATCAGCTTCATCTTTCCTGCATCAATCCAAACTTAATTAAAATCCAAACAAACTAACAAAATTTCAACAAATTCCATACAATCCTTATCCCCAAATTCTTATATAATTTGGCTTCATGCTTTTTCTTCTTGTAGTCCCACTTGCAACCGGCATTGAAGGCTTTATTGTTTGAGTAGCCCTATTATCGCCGACTCGAGTATCACCCGTGATTTCACCATGAGAAGACACCTATAATCAATCAAATTATATAAGAAACTAAATGAGGACAATTTATAATGAATAGATAACTCTCATCTGTAATCAATCTCTCTTCTTTTTAATTTACATTTTCTGACCGGAGAGGTATTTGTGCATGCAGTGCAAAACAACAGAAAGGGACAAGGGTTCGGGCTGAATTTTCTTAATGATGCTTTTACATGCCAAATCAAATTTACAGGGGATCTAGTTGTTTAGCTTCATGTTCCGTGGAGAGAAAAAAATTGAATTACATGCCAAATCAATTAACTCAATCAGTTAGTTAATATTCTATCTAGCTAAGAACACTGCAATCAAAGAAATGATTCTAACCATATTTAATTCAGCTCTGCAAGCAAGCAACAGCAGCATGGCAAGATGCAAAATAGGGACGAACCAGCGCACATACCTTGTACTTCAGAAGAAGGCGACGATGGTTGAAAACCAAATGAAGGGGCAATAGAAGCAGCGGAGTTGAAAGACAGGGAAGAGGACTTGAAGTTACCCCTTTCGACTAGAGAGGTGCCAGAAGGCTTCAATAAAGCTTAGAATCCGAGCAATGGAGTTGAGGAGGGAGGCCATGATCGACCGATTTGGAGGCGCATAGACATTGAGAGACGAAGCAGAGTCGCCGAAGTCCGAATGAAGATGATGGAGGAGAGGATATCGAAAGCCACAACCCACAAACCTGAAGCTCTCATAGACGAACAATGAGAAGCTGAGAAGCTGAGAAGGGAAGGATGAAGGAGGCAGAGGCAACGATGGTCGATTTTAGATCATCTCCTGCTAAGGAGGGGAGGTCGACGCTGCAATTTCGAATCTTCTCCCACTGAGAAGGGGAGGACGAAGGAGGGCGAAGTCAGAGGCTGTGGCATGCCGCGTGCGGCCGGTGGGATCTAGGGCAAGAGCTTGAGGGGCACACTGGTAGCAGGGAAGAGCTGGGCTGGCGGGATCTAGGGCAGGAGCTTGGCAGGTGGGTGTTTCAGTCTGTGAGAGGGAGAGTCGGAGAGACCGAGAGAAGAGAGTACTAACTAATGGAGAGGGCACTAGGCTAGAGCTTAACTTTGGGCTCAGGAGTCAGGAGTCAGGCAGACCAAATATTGGGTCTAGGCATGATTGGACCGTGATATTCTAAAATTAAGAAAGATAGAAATTTTTTTTAAAAAAATAGTATATTTGGTTATTCGGTTATAACCGAAATTTTTTTATGGACACCGAACCGAACACCGAACACCAAAATAACCGAAAAAATTAACCGAAAAAAAAATAAAAACCGAATTAACCGAACCGAAAAAACCGAATTAAATTCGGTTTGGTTCGGTTTTCGGTTACGGTTCGGTTTTGCTCACCCTTTCCTCCGAAACAGGGGTTTGTTGGAAGGGAGAAAAACAATTACCCTCGTTCTGACAATTTTGTCCACACCATCTTTTTGAATATTTCAAGTCTACCCATCGAAATTTCAACCTCTTCTTCGCACGTTCTATCGCAACTTCATTGTGCATTTAATCTGATAGGCAATGACATGAGCTGGAGCTGTTTTGAGGAGGATATCAGATGCTTATAAAATACAATCTCTCGTCCAGTTGCTGTTTTTCTTCTTTTTTTGATCTTCTGCGTGCCTCTGAATCGCTTCTCTTCTCTCTTGGTCTGTTATTTAGTGTGCCGCTGTTATATATATAAATATATATATATATATATATATGTGAAAAGTGATGTTGTTTGTGTGTATAGTGTATACTCACATTCACAATCTACACTCCCCCCATTCTTCGACTCTCCTTCTTTGTAATTGTATATACAAACACGGAGCATGATTATAAATATAAGATAAAGTATATATATTAAGTGTTAATTTATAATTATATTTTCTTAAGTATTTTACAAAATTTGAAAAAAAAAAACAACGTAGACAAGATAAAGATAAAACTTGTCCGCGTAAAAATTGTTCTCTTTTCCTCCCCTTCTGAACCAAAAATAAGATAACGTTAAAATCCTTCCTATTTTCTCTCCTCTATTAAAATCTTTCCTATCCCTTTAACTCTTTCTCCTTCTATTAAAATTCTTCATTTTTCTTTTTTACAGTTGAACCAAACACATCCTAAATAAAGATGCATATTCTCTCCCGTCCCCACCCGATAGACTTCAGGATCTATTCTTGATCCCAGATATAAGAGATTAATTACTCATATTTATTATAAAGTTCCGCTCATCAGAGCAATTGAAATAAAAAAAGTCAAAGAGAAAGTATATATTCATTAATAAGGAGAGAAAGAAGGATAAAATTAAAAAAAAAAAACAAAAGATAAATCTTAAGGGGTGTTTGGAAATACTCAAAATTGTTTTTTAGAAATACTTTTCCGCAAAACAAGACAAACTCCTCTATATATTTACTTTGTATACTGCAAAAATATTTTTAAAATCATAATTTTAATTTCATCCAAACACCTTCTTAGTAATAAATATGAAATATATGGACCCTCTACCGTGTCTAATCATGAGAGTTTTGTTTATGGCATGCACCATAAATTTCTCTTCATATTATTTGGTGCGGACCCTTCTAAATCTTAGCCACGTGTAACCTTTTCATCTTTACTTAGACACGTGTAATCTGTTCCTTTTAAATTGGCCCGGCACTTGCCTGCCTTTTTGTTCACTTCTTTCACGTCTTCTTTAGATATCGATTATGTATAAAGGTTAATTTGACGTTGAATTTAATTTTAAATATAAAATTCTAATTTATTTTATTTGTTATATTTATTTATTTTAAAAATATTTTTATAATAATTTCATATTTTAATTATTTTATTAAATAATAATTCTAATTAATACATATTATTAGGCAGTATTATAAATATAAATTAGCCAACTATCTCTAGGTAGGATTATGCGTAGGACGAGACAAGTTAAAAGATTGGGGGGACCCACAATGCTTCTCAAGACGTGGTTGTAAATTATGGGAGTGCATGATGCTAGGCTGGCTTGTTCCATCATATGCATCCTGGGGTTTCACGATCGAGCCTCAGTGCTTCACTGCTCAGGATTGGAAGGTCGGCACACTCAATTTCGTCCCTTTCAATATCTTCCTCAAGCACAGATCAGGCGGGTCATCAACACCTCAGGCTTTTGTAATTGAGGTTTTATCTACTTGTGTTTCTTTTCCTGTGCATTTTGTCAGATGGTTTCTCATCAAAAGGGAAAAGTATCCATTCATCCATATCCTCTCCACAGCATTATTATATACGTTTTTTCTTTTCCCCGCAGAGCATTATTTTTTAAAAAAAAAGAATATATCTATAAATATTAAATAAATACTCACTGCTCCCATATGCAAGCGCCTCCGGCGTCTCTAAATATCTATCCGTGTTTTAATATAAAGAAGATTTGGTCTATCAATCAAATGAATTCCCGATTTCGGGCTAGACATCGGAATGGAGAGGCAGGGGACGCGCGTGTTGCTAACCTCAAGCGGGGACGACATTTCCAGGAGCATCGCTTTTCATTTGGCGAAGCGAGGATGCAGGTGAGCCTTCATTCCACTGCGAATACAAAATGTTTGGAATTTCCTATCAGCTAAAGCCATGCACTCTTGATTCAGGTTGGCTCTGGTTGGAGACGAGACCTGCCTCCGGAGTATTGCCGATCAAATCATGGGTTCCCTCAAGGGTGTTGCGCCTGTGGAGGTGATTGGGCTGGATATCGAACAAGAGAGGGAGGCCGTCTTTCGTGATGCCGTTCATAAGGCCTGCGATGCCCTGGGATATTTTGATGCTTTTGTAAATTGTTTTGTTTATGAAGGTAAACGTCACTACTTTGCAATATTTGGGATTATATATTCAGTTGGGAATCCTTGTTTATCCACTATTCGGGTCAAAGTATTTTGACCCCCCCAAAAATAAAAAGCGCTTTGACTCAGCGCTCGCGTCTCGTTTTTTAATATTTTCAGTCAAAAAGGTTGGTCTAAAATTCGGCGTTGGTGTTCGCTGTAATCCTCACTAGCGGTGTGCCCTGAGTTGAGAACTATAATGAGAGACAAAGCGTTCTTACAGACCATCATCAAGCAGTTCATTAACTTCTGGCTGTTTAGAATATCATGGATTTTTTGTGCATATGATTACATTTACTTTGTATTGGTTTGGGGGATTGGTTCTTCTGTGGTAGATCCGCATTCGGTTTTCCCATTTTTGGCAACACAACCTTCCAATAAAATGAAGATCCATATAATGATATAATTTTTAACATGTTAAACTAACGTGGTCTACTGCTATGTTCTAGACATGATCTTATCCATATGAAAGTAGTTTTTCAGTAATTTAACCAGGGAATCCACATGGGTTTCTATGATGTTCAGGATGATGATATTGATATCTAAGCCAAAAGCTGATTACTCAAAAAAATTTGGGCTTGTTAGGGTATGTCACTCAGCCTATTAGTTGGCCGCGGACAATTAGTATTTGGGCATGGGAGGCCGGCAACTCTCTTTTTGGTCCCCAAATTTAGTACTAAACAGTGTGTTGACTAGGTGAAGCCAGAAAAGTTGATCCATCATCCCATATTTGGTGCAGTTTTGCTGACGAAATTGTTATTAAAAGGTTGTATCCGTGGCATAATTTCTCTTTTATTTGAATCAGCTCAAATTCCCAAGACATTTTTTAGGCCCTGTTTTGAAAGTTTCAGAGAAGCCTATGGCAATAAAGGGAATTTCATATATCTCAGTAACTGATGGTATTCTAGGTATCTTCTGTGGACAATAATATCTAAGGAGCGCTGCATATGCTTGAATCTCATCTTGCGCTCAACTTTTGAGTACTGAGTAGGGATGTATGGGGATTGATAAATATTTTGGAATAAAAACTGAGTCAGGCTTCTAACAAATTGAAACAGGGAACATGCAAGAGCATCTAGAATTAACTGAGCATGAACTCAAGAAAATAGTGAAGATAAATTTCATGGCTGCATTGTTTTTGCTGAAGGCCGTAAGCCTAAGGATGAGAGACTTCAAGAAAGGGGGCTCCATTATATTCTTAACAACTCTACTTGGTGCTGAAAGAGGCCTTTATCCCGGAGCTGCTGCGTATGCATCAACCTTGGCAGGAGTGCAGCAGTTAGTTAGGGTAAGGCAATATGTGTTAGCAGTTTTTTGTCTCGCAAATCATATGATTGTGACGTGTTCATTTGATAGAAATTTTCTGTTTGAAAATTAAATTGTCACTTTTGATGTATTGCAACATTCAGTATGCAACAGAATTCTGGAAAATGGAGAAAAAATTTTCTTGCTTTATGATTGCGGTGTGTAGGTCGTTCTTCTGTTCCATCAGTCATTTGATATATAAGAGCACTTGCTCTGCGATCTAATGATGAACTTCCATGGTTTATCGGGCATATTTTTTAATCTCATGGAAGGTCAACATTTTTTTTCCTCTTGTATATCCAGAGAAACGTTGTATTACCTGGCAAGTGATTTGGTACCATTGTCTCCTGTTTATTTTCTTTTTTCCTTTCTCATGTTTTACTCGAACTACTCGTACTGTGCGCATTTCTGATTTGAATTCTGATTTGAAACCAAAGTCTTGGCATTTTTTCTGTGCTGGGTCAATTTTGGACAAGACAGAACGTAGAGGGGCTACTATACCTTAAGGTTCACGAGCTGGGCGTACGCAAACAGTTAAAATACGAGAGGAAAGTCAATCAATCAGATGTGCAAACAGACTGTGATGAATGCATTGTCCAATTCAAGAAAAGTGATGTTTTTGCTATGTTACACTAAGCAAAATGTGCTTTATGAGAAGTTTCTCTGGCATGTGTTATGGCTCCTCAGTCTACTAAAAACCAATTCAGTTCCACTACTGGAAAGCATCCTGCTGCATCTCATTTATGGGAACATGAGAGCTTGTTATTCTTGAGATGTTATTGTCTATTAATATAACTTCTTACTTTGAAGTTGACATCGAGTTTTATCCTCAGGCATCAGCTATGGAGCTGGGGAAATATCAGATCAGAATCAATGCTATCGCACGGGGCTTGCACATGCTCGATAAATTCCTGTTACATGTAGGAAGGGAAAGGACAGAGATATTGGTGAAGGAAGCAGCGCCTCTTGGCAGATGGCTTGATGTTGAGAAAGACTTGGCTTCCACAATTATCTATCTAATCAGTGATGGTTCAAGCTTTATGACAGGAACCACCATTTTCGTTGATGGGGCACAGTCTCTGTCCAGGCCTCGAATGCGTTCCTTTATGTGATTCCTTCCTGGTAGCGAGAGGAACGGTTGGCTTCCCCACCCAAAAAAAATAAAAATAAAAGTAAAGAGGAATGGTTGGCTTATACTGATACAGCAAAATCCCTGCCATCTACATTTGTTTCTCACCTCTTGCATTATTTGAAAAGGAATTTCATGAGTTTTATACCATTACTATTTTGAAGGAAGGACAGGGGTGAGAAACAATGTATATGGCAGCAATACCATATAGCAAACGTTTTTTATTTCCGTCTGATTGGTTACAAAAGAATCAAAAAAGGGTCATCGTGTGATTCTTTTACCTATAAAAGGACATTTCTTTATGGGTCGGTGTTATCATAAAGATAAGATGTGACATCTGGAATGATGTAGTGAGTCACTGAAAAAGCTTAATGGATTGCGATGTTAATTAGCTTTCTGCTTGTAATGAGATACAGCTGATTATTATTTATGCAATCAGCAGCAGCAAATGAAGACTTAATGGCATTTTCATTTGTGCGCACCACGTGTTCCGTATGTTTGCCCGTGAAGTTTATGTACTCCTACCCCATTACTATTGAAATCTTGACTCATATTCTTCATAAACGAATAATTTTTACTTAAAATTTAATGTATCCATGTGAATCGAATTCACAGAACTTAACTTCCAAAAAAGTCACATAACAAAATACTATAAACCTTAGCAGTAGAATGCTCAACACTTGTGGGCTATTGGGAATGAACTCCTGCTTTAACCCACCTTCACAATTGTGAAGGTTTGTCCAACTAAAGTATCTACACTTCCATGTTCGTCAATCGTCATACTTTTAGAACAAACTAATGAAGGAAAAGAGTTCTTTGGTATGGGGACTCTTCCTTTTTTTTTTTTTTGTGGTCTTCTTTATCACTTCAGACTGAGAATATGGCATGAAAAGATTGGAGAAGAGAGAGACACTTTAGAGGTGAAGTAAACAGAAGGAATGATGATTTTAATAAAAAAAATTGAACGAATGGGAATCAAATGAACACAATGACATACAGGAGGCGCAGCGGAAAAAGAAGAAAAAAAACTGAAAATTACTAAATCTCAAATTAGGTTTGATAACAACGCTTTATTTAGTGTTGACGATTCTAAATTTGCAAATAACAAAATTTTATTGACTTTTTTTATTTGATATTTAGCAATTTTCAGCTTTTTTTTGTTGCTATTTTCCCAGAGAAAAAACAGTATAGCAGCCGTGTGTATTAGTGCTGAAAACATGAGGTGTCGTGGATGGAGTACATATCAATGGGCTCCGCCACCGAAAGTAGAAAACTCCACTGTGCACTTACAGTGTTGAGCAGTCGTATTCGATCTTTTCTTTTGTGATTAAACCCCACTACTCTCTCGTATTTGTGAATTTAATGTTATGTTGAGGTGAAATATATACACAAATCTGAAAAGGCAAGTGAAGCTTTTAACGTTATTGGAGATGAGACTTGATTTGAGTTGATCCTGAAACTGTTCCCTTATAGAGGTGAAGTAGAGATTCAAAACAATCTCACTAACCCACCAAAGTGTGAGAGACTTTGAGGTCGACTTGTGTGGGACACTAAGTCGCAACAGCTTCCATTCTTTTCAAGTGTCCTTTTTGAGGTTCTTTTAATATGTATTTTAAGGCCTTACAACTTAGGAGAATATTAAATATTAGTATTTGTTTTTAAAATGGGATATTGAAAGTTTTTACTTACGTTCGCTACCCCTAAATTTTTTTAGGTGCAAATTTTTTTCTACAGTTAAAAAACTAACGTTGATCATTAAAATAATAATATTAGTTGTTAATATTTTTTACACTAGGAGATAAAATTGATATCATTTTAAACTTCGAAAGCAAATATTTGTACTTAATAAAACTTTCGGGTGTCCACTACCCCTGGATGAAAACTTGCAAAATGAATTTGTATGTTAAACCTTTAAAATTGTACTCTCATCTTCATTAATTCAACAATTTTAAACAACATCAATTGCTAAAAAGATTTAATCTATGATATTACTTGTGTTGTTGTATTGTTATGATAAAACCTTAAATGGTAGATAAGGACAAATTGAGGTTGTATGTAACAAGGTAAATGATGAGGCAAAAGGAAAAACTTCATATCTTGATTTAACTGGAGAACAATACTTTACATATATAATTTCAAGTTTTTTTGGGGAAAACATCTATAGAGCCCCAAAGTGGATGATAATTACTTACCCTCCCCCCCCCCAACCCAACCACCCTTCTTGTGTAAGATTACATCCACACATAATTTGGCTTTATTAGTTATCACGGTTGGAGAATATTTTACACAATGAAGTATTTGAGATATGGCTGACTTCGTTAATGGTTGGAGGAGCTTATTTTTCTTAAATTAAATAAGTTAGTTAAATATAAATTTTTTATAACTTTTCAAAATTACCTTTTGGCTGATACAGTTCATTATTTTGGGGGGAGGTGGAAAAATTATATTAGTCAAGTTAAGAATTACAAGGACATTTTAATTTTGAAAATAAGCTACAAATTATTTCATTAAAATTTGAAACCGATCGATCCGGTATTGAGAACTCAATAGATAGTAGTGTTTTATAAACTGAAGTAGTTAATTTATTTTGGTTCTATTTATTGCGTGAAAAAAGATATATTAGTCAAGTGTGTGTGCAAACACTAACTTACATTATTGAATTTTGGAAATAAAACTGTTTCAAGATAGACAGGGAAGGCTTACCAAAAAAGACAGATAGGGTGATAAAGTGAATAGGAGGTGGATGGGCGTATTTAGGCATCGTACGGGGGGCGTCGGCCAACAATTAGGTCGCTTATTTATAATTATTTGACTTTTAAACTAACAAACTAAACCAAATTACAATAATAATCCAATCTCTTTTTTTTTCAGCAGATGAATGATTGGTGGTGTACTCGTGATTTCCTGTGCTCTCCTTAATTTATTGCGATGACTCTGGATTTTCTTAATTAATTTTAAAATATATAAATGAAAAATCATATGAAATTCTCTTAAAATTGTATTATCTACTTACATCTCTGAGTATTTCTTTAGATTCTAGTTTTTTTCCTTGGCCCTTGTTAGATTTTGCTGAAACACTAAATTATGTATAACTTTCGAAACTAATTTTTTTCCCCAAAAAAAAAAAAGGAGAATCTCCAGATCTTGATAATATTAGGGGTTTACTGTGTTAACCAAATTATAAGTACAGATTAGTCATGGATTGAAGAAATAATAGGGGATTAGGGCTAACTAATTGAGGCTGGCTAGCTACCTGAGGATGAAACATCAAAGACGTAGGACCTTAGCTGCAATAGGTTAGGTGGAACAGAAACACATTGCATCTATGCATTAAGAAGGCTAATTAAATCTAACCACTACTTAACCTAGCACCTTAATTATTAGCCGCTTCCATTCCTTGCTTTAAGTTAATTCACTACTCCTCTATATAGCTAATTAATTCTTCATTACGCCGTGTAGCCCTCCAGATTCACTTCTAAGTTATAACAGTATTATTTCGATTCCTAATATTGTTCGCAACTTACCGCTAATTTTTTTCCCAACAGTAACTTTTCGTTAATTACAGTTATAGAATGTAAAAGTTGCGAAATACTCTCCTTAGAGAAAAGTCTAAATTCAAAGCCGTAAGAAGGAAATAAAATCATGATGTCAACTCTTATGTTATTGATCTGGCCTAACACACGCGAGGGCACACAGATTTTGATTACAATAAATGTGGCGACTGAATTAATCCGGCAATTAAGAATTAATAATAACCGGCCTAAATATATACTTCACCTAGTTCACAATATAAGGCGTTTATATAAGAATGACTTAATCCAAAATATAAGCTACTTGAAAAGTAATTAATGTTTATTTATCAATTTTATCCCTGCACGCGGTTAATATTTAAATGTAACTCTTTATACTTTTTTTTTCCTTTCTTCGCAACTTTATTTGATAGAGGTAAACTTAGAAAAAAAAAATTCAATTTGAGACAGTCTTAATGAGTAAACTATTCTTTTTTTATCTTGATAAATTAATTAAAGTGGCTTATCTTACGGATCATTAAGTGTATTATGATCTCCGGCATGAATTTTAAATGAGACTGAAGCATTTAAACTTGATTAATCTTTTTTCTTCCCAAATAATTAAGCTCCCATGCAAGTGTTGGGAAAAACTCTGAAGGCACAGTTTTCACAAGTTATTGTAAACATATAAGATGAGGATAATAGAAATTAATACTGCCTCTTATCTTTAATATAAAAATTAGTTTGATTTTTAATTTGGTCCTAAATGTAAGAACCTAATTACTTTGTCTCTTATATTTATTTATTTATTTCAAGATAGTCCTTGTAATAGCTGCATATATTAAAAGTTTCATCAAATATATACATGATTAGTAAGAACATTTTAGAAAGGGCAGCATCTATTTATTACAAATTAAATAATTAATTTAACAAACTTTCTTGATTTATTCAAATTAGTTAACTAACTCTTATATTAAGAACCGGAGATAGTAATTAGATAATCAAATGAAAGGTAGGGTCAATGAGACTCTGTCGTACGTAAAATCGATTGAGGGGGGGGGGGAGAAAACCGAATTCTCGTCCAAATTAATTACGAGGCGAGAGAGTTTCCAATGAAGTATATCCAGAAGACAGGCATGCAATTTATAATTAAAAATGGATGATCGATGTCAAATTGAATTTTCCATCGTTTGTCTACGCATGCAAGCACCGTATATATTTGAAGTTTCTCTGCTGAACACAAAATATATATATAAAATAGGGACTTGGTGGGTAAGACCTGGCATTGCATGAGACACATACACACACTCTCTAGAATATGTATAATTCATTATTTGACCTAGTTGACGTGTGGATGTTAGTCGGCTCACATACATGCATGTTGGAATTAAGAAATCATTACACTATTCATATACAAATAATAAACTTGAACAAATCCAAAGATAGAATGTGGGGAGCGAGACAAGTTCTTAGAGTTTGTTGGTTAGCGGAGAGAGAGACAATATAATATACTCTTCTGGTCTTTAATATATGATCTAATTATTAAGTTGATTTTGGTTCCAAATATAAGGCCTATTTCTCATACTTATTAATTTTTTTTTTAAATTATCCCTATAAATACTACCTGAACTATAATCAAGTAGAAGAAGAAGGAATGATATTAAGAAAGATGAATATAGTGTTTTCCTAAAAACATTGTCATATTTTTTTATAATTAACTAACTTACCTAACTTTCTTAATCTAATTAAATTAGTTAAATAGATCTTACTCTCCGGTCCTAATTATAAGACCAATGACTTATTTGAGAGATTAAGGAAGTAATAAGTGGTTATTTTAATAAATAAGTGTTGTCATTCCTAAAATATCCTTGCAATTAGGTATATTGGCTAAAACTATCATTATTAGAAGGATTATCTTGGAAAAAATGCATAAATATAAGAGACAAAATGGATTGGGGTCTTATAATTAAGACCAAATAAAAAGTCAAATGGGGTCTTATAATAGGACCGGAGGAGTATATAAGAACTAGAGGAGTATATGTTTTTTTTTTCCTGTCAAAAGGAGGAGTATATGTTTAGTTATACATGAAACCAAGAATAATACAAAATAGGGAAATTTAAAGGTGGTGAATGAGAAGAAAAGGATATATAAAACAATAAATTGAATATCACATGTGAGGAAAGAAAGGAGGAGGAGTGATGATGAGAATGAAGCAAGATACATCTTAGGAGGAAGTGTGGAGGGAGAGAGGTATATTATTCCACACCTTGAATGGTGGCACACTGAATGCGGAAATGGTGGACCCAAAAAACACTGAATTAGGGCGAACGCGTTGGAAAATTCTAAGGTAATGTGATGTGAAAGTGAAGAATTATGGATTGATGGGAAGTTGGGATTCATGGAGGTTGATTTGCTACCTGCAAACAAATACAGTGTGTCACGCGACGCCATTTGACGTTTCAAACTAAACCCACTTTCAATATTTTCTCTAATCCTCCGTCCTCTTCAACTTCAAGCTTTTCCAACCTTTGGTTTTCCACCTCTTTTGGAATCACTTCTTTTACTCTCAATTCTCTTGAACCGCTCCCTCTTGTTACTGTACTTTTCCCATAGCCCAAATATTACATATGGAACAAATGGTTTTAAAACTGCTTATGCGTCTTACATTTTCCCACCGCGTCTGCGAGAAAGGGGAAAAAAGAAAAAACGACGTCGCTTTCTTGGGCTGCATCTGGTCCTGATGGTGACGACGTACGATATTGACCAAATCAAACTCTGAAAAGGAGTAGGACACTATAAGGATGGTTCATGCAGACGCAGTTGCCGGAAATGTGTCGAAAGTACGTGTCTGGATGTTTCAAATCAAAGGAGGAGATCGAAGAGGTGCATTGCATTCTCATGCATGTTCCGCTGGCAGACGTGGCACTTACTGGTTTGCTTTTGTGAGCTAGTCAGCTGCCACGTAAGCAATATTTACATGAATTGTTCATGTATGACATTATACTGTGGCGAATGTAATGTTGCGGTGAGTAACTTTTGGTCTTGGCAAAGTAAGTACATAGGGAGCATGTTGAAAAAATTAACCTGCAATAAGGACCGATTTCAAATTAAAACTGGCCCGGTGCAAACTATAGGGATTAGAAATGAAATTTTCTTTTTCTTGTTGTTATGTTATTCCTTCCATGTTATAATTATTGCAGTGGAGAAAAGAGGCTGCGCAGACCTAATTCACCTTTTTTTTTTCAAACTTCAAACCCACATGCTTCTCTACATATCCCGTCTTTATCACAACCAATGCTCTCTCTCTCTCTCTCTCTCTCTAAGGAGATGGCTTCACAAAGACACAACCATAGGATTCTTATTAAGGAATATTTATGCGGATGCAATGAAGAAAAAGAAGAAGGATATGCTGCAATTATGGATGCAATCACTTAATAATAATATTTAGTTTTTACAATAAATAATTTATTTTAACTATTTTTTAAATTTACGTAAAATAGTCAATTTAAAAATTATAAAAAGTATAGAAATGAAAGGAGTAGTTACTTGCTGTAAATGCAGCATATATAGGTGGAACACATACACAGGGGAATGGAGGAGGAGATTGAAGTGACACATAAAAAATAATTGAGGCTTTTAGTCTTTTGCTTGGTTTTCTCGGTTTATTTGACGACCCCACTCGAATATGCTTTCCTTTTGTTGTTTAATTAATGACAGTTTCTGGTCACTCTCAACCACATCATACCCTTCAGAATTCAAATCCCTCTGTTTCTTCCTCTCAGACCTTCCCAAGAAAACCAGCTCCTCTCTCTTTGACACATAAGCACGTACCCACAATCCCCCCCCCCCCCAAAAAAAACGCTATTTCATGTCCATAAATCAATTTTACGGCGAAAACAAAACCCCCCGCAGTTAATCAAGTTGTTCTACTGAACTATTACTTCGATCCAAAGGGGGAACAAATTGAGCAGCCACTTCATTCCAACTTATTTGATGTAAAAATAATGTGAATTTTGCATACGATATTCAAGGGATGTAGTCAGTTTACCTTAATAATAGTGATTTCTATATGACAATCCTCCATTATAACGACATACTATTTTCTTTGCAAAAGAGAGACTTTATATGGAAATGGAAAAGGAGAAAGAATCCACGTATTTATAAATAAAACAAAATATATATATTAGGCTCAAAATTAAAGAAATCACAGAGACAATAGGTTTTAGATTAAAAATCGACACTCCTAATACTCCTTTTTTTCCTTTTGCTCCAATGATACTCATCATAACACTTAAACAAGCCATCAATATCACATATAGTGTGCGTGTATTAATATTAATATATGTGTATGTGTGTATATATATATAATTATATATCCCTTATTAGGGTTAGTGCCCACTACATATCAGTTCCCATCATCAGCAACTTCGCGGAAGGTGCGAAGGTGATCCTCCGCTGCCACATTCACTGTCAAAACATCGCACCCACCTACCCCCATTTTGCAGTATATACATTTAAATAGCTTAAAGAATATTCACAGCAAGAAATAAAGGGAAATATAGCTCGACATGTTGATGGCGAAACGGGTGACAAAAAAAAAAGAACGATTTTACATGAACTACTCCTTTGCTGCAAAACTTTACTGATCTAATTCTGTTGTCTTTCAATCTGCTCGGATTCAACCGTGGCATGGGAAATATATGTGGGAGAATGAGTTTTTGATGAAAACTGCGTTTTCCTTCGTACTGCAACATCATGTTTCAGAGTGGTTATTACCAATTCAACCACTCCGTAGAATTACTGCACAGGAAGAGTTGCTGTGCAAACATAACTCGAAAAGAATGATGTTGAGGAATACTCCTACATAGGAGAGGGAGGAAAGTCAAAAGCACGTAGATAATTCACGTATGAAAGGGATACACGTGTGAAGCGTGATGATGTACCCGAAAGGATCAGTTCAAACTTCAAAGGCAGCTGTTTCTAGTCTTCGTCCTGATTACCACACATTAACCACAATGTTCACGAAGGTGACCCACTCACCCCAATAAAGTGCCTTCTGCTCATCTCTCATTTAAATCACGCCCTCGTTCCAATTTCAAATTACCAACGATTGGATTTCCATCTCTTGCAATTATATGGGTATAACATTGACAATTGCAATTCAAAAATCTAATCTTGCCCCCGCCGACAGTACTGTGTAATATTAATCCTTCATTTTTAATCTTCTTTTTTTTTTTTAAAAAAAAAAGGGTAATATCGACCTGCTTATACATGTATTACAGCCACGAATTAATAACGTTGATGTCTTTGTCCTGCTAAATGCTAATGATGATATGGCGCCGCCTCAAATTTTCTCGATCCTTTTCTAATAAACTCCGCTGCGCTGTTTAGGAATGGAACTCATTTTTCTCATCAACATATCCTGAGAAGACAATTTTCGTGCCGTTTACGACACTATCGTCTCCATATATATCGTATTGCCCTTTCGCATATCGTATCTTTATATTCCCTCTTCTCAGTCATATTAACTCGTATTCGCTGTATGCCTTCCCATTTTTCACTGGCCAGCCACTCCTCTAAGCGCTAGCTAGCTGCCCCCACCACTATGCAATAATCTTCTCGCCTTTTTTACCATATATATACACATATATATCCTTTAGATTTCCTCCTCCCAGCTAACTCCTTTTCTCTGTCACCATATACAGTAAGGGAAAAATCTGGTCTGATTCCAATGGAGAATTATACCATGTTGTTCCCTGGTCCTACTTCTTCTTCAAGCTATAAAATGCCAACGAGTGCCATGGGTGGCTCTTATCATCATGGATTTAGTAACTTCGAGGGTCAAATCTCGAACGGGTTTCTGGGTTTGAGGCCTAGTGATCAAAGCAGTGGTCTGCAGAAAAGAGAAGAAGCTAGAGATGGGCTGTTATCTCAGAGCGGGAATATGAAGGATGATCAGGTAGGCGGTGGTGCCGGCGGCACAGGTAAAAAGAAAGGAGAGAAGAAGGTTAGAAAGCCTCGATTTGCTTTCCAAACTCGGAGCCAGGTTGACATTCTTGATGATGGCTACAGGTGGAGAAAATATGGCCAGAAAGCTGTTAAAAACAACAAATTCCCCAGGTCTGCTTTTCACTTTTCATCGCTCCTTTTCTTTTACTTTCATTTTTATGTACTTTTTTGTCTGGTTTCACGGGCCGCCTAATCTATAAATATATATATGCATGTATATAACTGCATGTGACCTGCTAGTATACCTCGAAAGGTGGGGTCTGTGTTGTTCTGAGTCAATTTTCTTTTGGATGATTATTATGACTGGACATGCTCTTAGAGATGGTTTCTCGATCATGGCTAGGGTTTGATGATTTTCTTCCAGGCTCTTAATTTCCCCCTCGTTTTATTTGCACTTAATTATATCTAACTTTGATGTGTGCTTCTCGCTGAAATATGTACTTGCATGAGTCAAATCAAAACGAGAAAAACACATATATGGTCGATCCGTGCACGCAGTTGTATGATCTTAGTAGTTGATACCCCACATTCAATGGCGGAGATCCAGAATCCAGAAAACGGTCCATAGTACACATACCAATTTACGAATTGACCCCATCGATCAGTTTATCTACTATAGCTAGCAATTGTGAATAGCCAATTCCAAACAAACGCCAATTGGATAAAGATATTGATCAACATGTTAATCACGTACTGAATAGAATTGCCTTAATAGATAGATACTACGTACGATCAAAGCCATAATTGATCTTGAGATAATTAGTTCAAGTCATCATGTCATATTCATATACATATATATATCAGTACCGTGCTCGTTCCAAATCGATATATGTCAATCAGTCAAGGGTCAGATCAGTGGTGTGAAATCATCGGTTTTGCCTTTTCTATTCTGTACTTTTCTGGGCGAAGTCACTGATTCATATCACTTCTTGAATGATGTTATCATGCCACTAATTACTTAGAAACATTCATTAATATCAAAGTTACTGAAGTTGTCTTACATAGTTATTAAGAAAAACAATCGTTTATATTTATATGTATATTGAATTGTTGGGTGATATATGTATGTCTGATGAATATGTATTGCGTAATCTTCACAGGAGCTACTACAGGTGTACTCATCAAGGGTGCAATGTGAAGAAGCAAGTGCAACGTCTGACGAAAGACGAAGGGGTAGTGGTGACCACATATGAAGGAGTGCACACACATCCAATTGAGAAGACAACGGACAACTTCGAGCATATTTTAAGTCAGATGCATATATACGCTCCCTTTTAAAAACACAAGGGAAAGGCCTCCTGGACTCTCTCTCATCTATTAATTAGTTTCTCCTTTCCTTCCTTATTACAATAAAATACATTATTATTAGTGTCACCACTACTCTCTGTACAATCTTGATCTTTATTTTGGAATGTTAGGTTGTAATGTGGAATTAATTAGTTCTCAAGTTCCATATTAATATATACTGCTTTTGGTTAATTAGAGAAATGTTACGCAGCAGTAGTATTATCTTTCTTTCTGATGGTCGGTCGATTGTATGTCAATCACTTTCAGGTATGTTGAATCTTGAAATACAAACAAGCAGTTTTGCCTTTTTCCCTTTCTCTTCAAATATGTGTTAGGCAAGCATTTGCTTCTTTTTCTAAGAGCTTCTACTGGGAGCCACCTATTCTCGAAACAAACCATATATATCAGGCTTTCAGTGAACAGGTGATTATCTTAATTACCTTACAATGGTTGATTTCTAAATAACATAACTACTTATGTTCGTGCATGGTATTTATTTTTATCATGAACCGATAGACATCGAGTTGGTTATCAGAATCAATGTACGAATACTCATGCCTGACACACATAATATAATGAAGCAGGCTTTTCTTCTGGTTTCATTCATGTGCCAAATTAAATATGCAAAAGGATATGATCAGAGCATTACTTTAATTTGGCCGTGTATATATATTGTTGGTTCGTTTGTTCCTGTAATGGCATTAATCTGCAAGAAATATGGTAGATGACCCATATATATCAGATTCAACTTCGACCCGACCCAATGATCTTCCCGAAGTCCCTTCAACGATCTAATACCTATACGAGAATAATATAATCCCCGTATTCTCGTATCACCAACAATATAATGATAGGCGCCAATTATCATTCTTCTGCCCGTGAAATGAAGATGGCGCTGCTTTTCAAGGCATACATATGAGCTAATAATTATGGGATGACCTCAAAGATCAGTCCTAAAAAAGGAACGTCTTTTGAATGGTAAAGTTTCAGGAGCAATTAAAAAGGAAGCACCTGAACTTTAGTTTCATCATTGTTGTTTAAGAAAACATAAAGCAAATGGATCCATTTTGCTCACCTCTATATCACATCCCCAAAAGACCCAGATCATGGTATGAAACTAAGATTTACACGTAAAGACAGTGACAAGAAGGTTATGGTAGTCTGGGTAATTTTGATGAACCTTGAGTAGAAGAAGGCAGCAACAGGTAGCTGTTTGTAAAGCCTCCAATATAATTAACCAGTATTACCTAAGAGGCACACGGGCTCAAGCTAATAAGGTTGGACCAACTTCTATAATATGCCTATGCTTATGTTCTGCTCTTCCATTTTGACGGGACATGGAAAAGAATAATGAAACAGTGAAGGAAATGATTCATATACAGACATATCAATTATGAAGAATAGAAGTGCTGATTAAAGTGGAAGCACGTACGAATTCATGAATCAAAAGAATTGTAGGCTTCAACGGATCGATCTTTCAAATATACAGTGTCAGATCCCTTGGTTTTTTTCCTTTAGAAAGGGGAGAACAAAAACTAATTTCATGGTTCAGTGCCATCTAAGGATTATAATCCTTTGTCAAATTAATTTGCAATGTTTTTAGTTTGGCTTGCCCTCGTCATGAAATTGTAAAAATAATTTCGGTATCTACTCTTTTATTTCCATGACATTATATTTATGGCGCCCTTAAGTTTAAAAAGCTCTAAATTTTAATTAAATAATGTCATCAGGTTTTAACATATATGCATGTATAAGCCCACATACTGAATTTTCATTCCAACGAATAGAATAATCTTAGTTCTTAGTCGATTTTCAGCCAAATTTTCAAAATATTTATACGCGGAAAAGGCCCGTCGTGCTTGCGTATCAGATTTGCAAGTTTTCTTCCAAGTTTGCCTATGCTATCCCTAGTCTTTCTGATTTATCGATCAGTTAGATATTCAAATTCTCAAGAACGTCCCTCTTGAATGCCAGGTCAGCTACTACAATAGCCCCAGGACTTGGTTGTCTCTCTCTCACTCCTTTTCAAGCTAAGCTAGACGCTTGCCCTAGCTTGTTGTTTAAAAAGAAAGGAAAAAATTAAGTCAATTCAGTCTTAATTTTCCTTTCTTTTTGTTTGGCCACCTAATCGAGTCTAGTTGTACACGTAGGGTTAAAAAAGCAAAAGGACTTGCCATCTCTTACGAGCCTGGAAGTGATGCTGCTTCATTCTTGTGTGTGTGTATATATCAGCAATTACATTACATATATTGATGATTCAGGTTCCACAAAGCAGGCCACTACCTAATATCCCACTCAAATCCTCTGATAAATTGCCATCATCCATTCTTTGAACCCTCTTAGCTTTCTTCCTTCCACTCAAAACCCCGACCTACTCGTAATACCTCATCACTCACTCCCTCTCTTATTATTCCCATTTGTCCCAGCGGATTGATTCATCACACACACACAGTGTCGTTAGTTTATGTTTAAATGTACCTGTTTCGTATGATGAAACATTAATTGCGGTTCAATATATATCCTTTACGTACTCTCTTTTACATATATCATCTGAGATACGATCGTCGGCCTTTCAAGTGGTACCTGGTGGGGTGTAATATAATCTTGCTGTTAGATTTCATGTTGCCCATACAGCCATGCTGTCCTACTTTTATGCTGCAGAAGCCGACCAAATATGTAATAGTGGCGTCTCAGTAATGATGAAATGCTTACCTACAATACTTGACTACGCATTATATTAATTCTATATATATGCCTTCAAAATGTACCTGATCTCATCAGCATATTTCTTTACGTGTCCATCTTTTTTTTTGGGCTGATTTTGTTAAGGATTAATGGATATGAGATTCGGTGTTTTGTATGGTGAGGATTGCAAATTTAAGATGCGAAATCAAATTAAGAAGTTATAGCCATACGGAACGCTAGGATTTGGCTGTTGACTGTTGTTCGAGACTCGTTGGTTAAAATTAAGAATCTTAATTTAGAGCAATTTCAGTGAAAGTAACAATATATATAACCAAAAAAGAGCAAAAGGATGAATAAGAAAAAGCATATCAAAAAAAGTAACTGGTATTTTAAATTTCAGAAGACAGAAACTTGCTGTCCGTTTCTAGTTTTCCACGAAAATTGATAATAGAGAAGACGCACAAGCAGCAGCTATGTTTAATTTTTTTCTTAGCTTACATCAGTTTGTTTCACATTATTGATGCTCAAGTTAGGTCTATATAAATCTGATTGACTTCCTGCTAGTCGTACATTATTAACATTCTCTAATCGCAATTATATGTTGGATCAAACAAAATAAGGTGATGTCAGCTCTAGAGTATGAGAGAATAATCATTGGTTAGCCATCCAATTCGCAGAAAAAGGTTTGCCTCACCAAAGCTCTTGATTTTGAACACCAGATCGTGTAATGATTGATGATCGCTACGTCCATCTTTGTGTCAAGATTTTTCATGCTCTGTATCATCAAGTTTAATAATTAATCTTCTTACCAAGTTCTCATGCTTAGATTAGCGGCCTTGTCATCAGTTTTACTGTTATCTCTGTAAAAGCACCTTTAAGGTTTAGCATAATACTATAGACGAATATTCTTCTTCTTCTTTTAAAAAAAAGCAACTCACTCTTCAGTTTTATTTAAGGACAAAGATTCAATGTGATATTTTAACAACTACATAAAATATTTATTTTTTAAGCTATTAATTCTCTTTTAACTGCAGGTCTTTAATCAGATGATGAAGATGAGGTATATAAGTATATACCGTTTGTCCATGTGGGGGACCAAAACATGACTACCATTATTCAAACTACTCTTTAGTTTACCTCTACTAATTTAACAAGCTCTTTATTTTGTCGTCGTCATCAATATATTTATATATATATATATATATCAAGTATCAGTCATATAATATATATCAGTATAAATGCATGTAAGAACATTGAACCATTATCTTGCACATATTCCTTTTCCCAGCAGATTCTTTTTTTTCCCTCTTGAGAAATACTCAGTGTGGATGAATTCTTCTCATTTAATTACGGAGAAGAAAAATATATAATAACCGATTATATTGGTCATACACGTAGACCATAAAGTTTGCTCCCCAAAAAGAGTCTAATTAATCAGATTTTGGTAAAACAGTGAGGAATAATAGAGAGTAAAGTCACCCTCTCGCTCTCTCTCATTCAATAATATTGAATTCAATTATGTATCACATAAATGCCTTGGCTGCAACTGAGTGTTACTACTATAGTCCAAACCTAGCAGTCACTTTCCTTGCCATTTGCCCCACACCCACTTTATTTATTCTACTTGTTATTTGGTTTCTTTTATTTATGCCTGCTTTCTCATTCATTCATTCACTCATCAAAATATAAAACGCAAACTGACGTGAAAGAAAAAGAAAATCAAGACTAGAGAGGAAGAGGCTACAAGACAAAGGAGAGATAAAACAAGGCAGATCTCACTCGCTCACTGCTTCTGCTCTCTGTAAAGTCACTGCCTTCCTATTTATGTTGCTTCCATCCTTCCTCTTTCTCCGTCTTCACAGGTCATTACTCTACATTTGGCCACTCATGCGCTTATTGCACTAAGTCCTTTCTTCACCTACCCCCCCACCCCCATTAATTTGGTTTCATATTCTTTCTTGCTTCTCTGCCCATTTTCCCGGACTCTCATCCTCCTCGTCTGCTTTATATTTCAGCATCAGTAACTAGTTTTTTACCCGCAGGAACATGTCTTTCTCATGCAGCTTCTCCCACTGTTGATCTTCTATCACACTAAAAAGCAAATCACTCGGAATTGACATTCTGTTTTCGTGTTTTTTTGGCATCCTCATGATGGCCTCGTTGGTTGTTGGTTGAAGTGATATTCGAGTTGGTTCCAATATCTGCTGCTATTTTTCTGGGTGTTATAGTAGCAGGAATTCAAGCTTCTGAGAAAAGGACTCTTCTTTAAATTATTACTATACTATTCTTTGGGTTTGCTCTGAGCTCCTGTTTCAGCGGACCAAATTGCCCTCCTAATTCATTTTCGCTTTACGCTGCTTAGGTCCTCCAAGTCCGAGTCAAAGTCTCGAACTTGTTTGTTGCAATCACGAAAGAGAGAATAACTTTTTGTTCGCAGGATTGTATTGTATATTTGAAAAGAGAGATATCAGATAACAGAGGATATAGAAGTGAGAGTGATTTCGATGGAGTCAGTGTGGGATTCATTGAGAGATCAGCCAAACGTGGGAGAAGCCCCGGTGGAGAAATCAGTGTCAGTTGTGGAGACAGAGATGTCTAACTCAAAATCATCATCGTGTAGTGGGGCACCAAAGAGGAAGCGCGTGCACCACAAATCGCCGGAGAAGGCGCAGTGCTCGGTGGATGGATGCAACTTTGACCTGGGGAATTGCCGGGAGTACCACCGGCGGCACAGGGTGTGTCAACCTCACTCCAAGACCTCTTGTGTGCTGGTGAAGGGACAGGAACAGAGATTCTGCCAGCAATGCAGCAGGTAACGGTCGGGCTTCATGTTTGTCGTGCTTCGCGAAAATCCATGATGCCTTCTTCAACATGCTTTCTGTTACTTTCTGCAGATTTCAATCGCTGGATGAGTTTGACGGGTTCAAGCGAAGCTGTAGGAGACGTTTAGAGGGCCATAACAAGCGCAGAAGGAAACCTCGTCCTCCACCTCTCGCCTTCTCTGCAGATTACAAAGGTTTGGTTTTTCTAATTTATATCTCCATCCCATCAAATCTTGATCTTCGTTCATGCATGATATTTAACAAACCAAGTAAACAATTGATCCAACACAGGACCCAGAATCCTGCAATTTGGAAATCATGCGAATGATGATCGTTACGTGAGTATGTGGAGTGCTCAACCAGCTCGGAGCTATAATCGTTACCCACCAAGTTTGCCGAAGACTGAGATTGAGCAACAGAGTGCGGAAGATCGTGGCTTTGCCAACACAGAAACTATGCAGGAGAAGCAGGTTTATTGGTATAATAATCAAGCAGTTCCGCCATTAACAGAAGCAGGTGGAATGGGAGATAAGAACCAGAAGATGCCTTGGGATTCTGCTCTCTATCTTCTGTCAGCATTTCGGGCACAGAGTTCCTCAGAGTTCAGTATGGTAGAGTCAAGTATAGACTGTCCAATTCAATCCCAACCTGCATTTGAAGACGACGATGGAATCCCAAATCGTTGGTGTTCAAGTTCAAGGAGTGTGACTAGTGGTCCCAGATTGGGGGGGATCCTAAGGAAACAAACTTCCATCACAGTGGGACTGGGATGCTTCAAATGGAGCCACAGTTGATGGAACACGGTGAAGGATCCCTAACCTCCCCTTTTTTCTGGGAGCAAGCAAGGTCGCAGTATAAAATTCCATAGAAACTTGTTGGAATTGTATATTTTGATTTCATTATTACTGCCCAACTACTTCAAATTCAACATTTATTTTGTTAGCCCATGACGCCCAATTTGTCTGGCCGCCAACGCAGTTAGAGTTAATAATGAGTTGGGAAGGTGGGATGGGAGTATTGTGCTTGTGAGACAATCGTAATATTTCATTTTATTTTCAACTTGTTATTAATAAAAAGAGTGATGGTCGCGACAATTCAGATGTGAAATCAAACAAGTAGTCGTATTTCAATGTTCAGCATTGAGCTGACCGCTCCAACTTCTGTTTTTTAAGATCGGTTCACCTTTTATTGGCTAAAAGCTTGTATATATTGGTCTCTTTTTTTTTTATTAATTAAATATAAAACATAATCGTGTGTTTTGATCTGAACATATTCTTCCCGTCCTTAATATAAGACCCATTTAATTAATTTAATTAGATTAAGGAAGTTAGGTAAGTTAGTTAATTATAAGAAATGTAACACGTTTTTCCTAAAATACCATAATCATCTTTTTAATACCCCATCTTCCTCTTCTATTTGATTATGATTGAAGAAATATCCATAGAGGTAATTTAAAGAAAATTGATAAATATGAGAAATATGTCTTATATTTAGGACCAAAACCAACTCAACAATTGGGTCCTATATTAAGGACCGGAGGAGTATTACTTCAATTTTTCTTATATTCTTTATTTAATATTTTTATTTTTAAAACTCACATTTTTCTTAAAATTAAACAACAGTTCTGATTCTCCACCCCCCTCCCAAAAGAAAACAAACCCACACATCTCTCCCTCTGCCCCCCGCTACTCATATTTTTACACGAGTTTCGTGTATGTTTTAAAAAAAACAAGTATAGGTAATTTTAGGTAAACAATTAAGAGAGGTATTTGCAAGAAAAGATGGTAGCATTAATAAAAGGACTGGCCACTTTCTCTCTGGCCAAAAAGAAAAAGAAAAAACAAAGAATTGATGCCATGTTTGGGAGGTCATTTCATTATTTGTGTTACACAGATACTCTGCATGTTGAAGTTTTTGTCATAAAATACGTAACAAGGAAGCAGAGAGCACAGCTAGTAAACAGAAAAGGTGGAAAGTGATGCTTGTATGGTTTTATTTGACGAATCTTTCACTTTATATATTATACGATTGAAAACTTGAGATTTCCCAAATTATTTATGCAGCTGTTAGATACATTTCTGGATTTGCCACATTAGATAAGATCGAACAAAATCAACTGAGGCATCCATAAATGATGGCCTTAGACGGACTTTTAGTGAAGTGGAGGGAGGGTTCCAAAATTCGGATGCAGGAGATTTTGCAGAAATATTGTTATCGCAAGGCCAATAATGTGTGTTTTATTGTATTTATTCCCTTTGATCTGTATATACAAGTAATAATTAATCAAATCATGCGAATCAAAATGTCGTTAAAGATAATCAAAAGTAATAAATAAGTAAGAAATATAATATTTTTAAATACACATTTATTTATGAAGATAATAAATAAGAAAGAAAATGACTGACAAAAGATACGAGAGAAAATTAAAAAAATTGATGATAAACATGTAACAATTATTTTGACCTATAATTCCTTAACACATCTATCCCAAAAAGCGGAAAATGAACGGGTAACGCAAACAAGCATGAGTGAGAGTAAAAATTTAGAGTTCAAGTATCCCAATATGACATAAAATAGTTAATGATCTCATTGCAATTAAAATAATTTTACATTGTCTCTCTCATCTTATCTTCGTAATATGCTTATTTAATAGTTTTGTTACATATTACACAAGTAAAGAATAAAATAATGAAGTGGATTATAGACTACAACATACAATTTATATTAAGTGGAGTGCACTGATTTCAATGAACGATACATAATCAAAAGAGAAAATTACTGATAGGTCCAAGCGGATTTGGCATCATCTAACTCTGCACTTCAACTTCTCCACTCCTATCTTGTCCCCTTCTGCTGTGAGGATTCCGATTGGTTTTGATGACACACACAAGATCATCAATCTTTGATGACGCACACAAAGCTTAGGAAATACATACTTGATACTTATAATACACAGTGCCAAACTGATGGGTGTCCGCACTCAGAAAAGGCTAGTTAAAGCAAAACACTGTCACACACCATTAAATTGTTAAGAGGAAGGAAACTAGCTACTCAAGGCAGAAAACTACTGAGGAATCTAGATGATCCTTTGTATTTTCCTGCAAGGAACATAACATGAGTGGCATAATTCGGCATTGAGTTAAAAAATAAAAAGGCCGTATGTTGGCAGCTATTCGTTCAACCATCGCCTCCAAGACCACTTCACATTACCATTGATTTTATTGAAAATATGAGTAATAGCTATAAGCCTCACTCATGTTTTCGCATCATGGTATTGGGGACAAGGAGGAGTAAGAATTATTTCACCCTAGGATTATTGCGAAAGCCAGACATCATGACAGAAGTAACATTTACCCTTCTTTTAAAAATATCACGTTTCATCCCGCAAAATGGAATGCAAGGGTGAGTGAGCATAACTCAGATACGGGTCAGGGCAAATTGATTCTCCTTCCAAGACATGTGCATGCCTCTGCGGTGGAATAATATGTCACCTTTGGGCAGTGAAGAAAAAAGACAGCAAACTGAAAGTTGAAACATTCTGAGGCTGCAAAATAAAATTCTCAGCATTTTCAATCAATCAAGCGCAAATGCTTATGAGAAGTGGAGCTTCGTTGGGTGGAAATGGAATACCTTTCTTCTTGAAAGATATATACAAGACTACAGATTCTACGAATAAACATAGATGAAGAATCGTTTCACCAGAAAGTTAATGCAAGCTCTCAAAAACTCAAAATTTAAAGAAAAAGGATAATTAAATACATACAACAAGATGACCGCAATAAACACCCCCACCACTTGCAAAAGCATTAGTGCCTGTCCTCCTTGGGAGTGTCTTTAGGAGGAAGCTTCGATTCAAGTTCCTTTGGAGAGGACTTATCCATTGCCCTGGAAGAATATAGCAAGAATCATATTACAATCTATTGATTTAACCACTAGAAAGAACGAGCGCCATAATGGTTGGCATTGCTTATTTACTTGCGATATTTTGTTCCTCTCAAGTATATTTAGCCATGATTTACTCTGGAAAATAACAGAATCATACCGTGTCTCGCACATTATATTGCTATTGCAGGCTGTAAAGAACTCACCCGCCTGAATTCACGTCTATCACCCCAAAAAGCTATGACTTGATTTTAAAATTCTCATTCACCTATTCTCTTAAAGAGGAGAATAAGAACAAAGGCCTACCCAATTTATCCCCACAAAGTCAAAAATCCACTCCGTATGCTGCAAAAGTACGTAACTCTTGCCAGCTGCGTAATTTTTCCTATGCTTTTATAAAGTAACAAGATATATGCTTCACTGTTATATAAGCAGAAATGGGAACTCATAGTGTAGATGCCCTGCGCAAGCACATGGAAGACCCTTACTGATTTTAGAAAGGGATAAAGAAAAAGAAGCAAATATCGGCAAGGAAGACAGATGCTCCCAACGCCGACTTGCCCTTCTCAAAGACGAGTACAAAAAGCTAGCAACCAGACCCAAGGGGTCCAGAATATTAGAGCTGTATTAATCACATCTAAAGCTTCGTCAATCAATAGCTGAAGCTACTTTGGAGAGACTAACCACACACTTATATAGTTGTGACTACCACTCTACTCATTGGATGTGTCACTATCGTGCATCTAATACACAGAATTGATCATAAACATGACCTAAACATTTTTATGCCAAAAGCAATGGAACCCCCGATCGAGTATTCGAATGGTTCAGTCAAGAATGAAGCATCCAAACGTAATAAATCTGTCTACGAAAAATAAAAAGCGAAAAAAGACGCGCAAACGTTCATTGGAAAATCACGATTTTTTCCTGAAGAAAAAAGGCTCACTTCGATGAAGCGGCAGTTTCTTCTTCCAGCCAGTTGCGGATGTGCTTGACGTTGCGCCTGAAAATAGCCGCCGATTGCCTCACATCAGTCCTGAGCAGAAGAAAAGCGGCGCCAACACCGGCCACAGTGAGCATGAAATTCGTAAGTCCCATGGTCTCTCCTGAGATTCGAAATACGATGCGCGTCAGGCGAGAACGAAGACGTAAAAAACAAAAAAAAGTGCCCAAAACGCCCAACTGCCCCACCCATTGGGCCAACACTAAGCCCAGACCAGCCCAACTAAGAGTACGTGGCCCACTGGAGCATGATAAATTCGACCCTTCCGTCAGACACGATCTGCTCGGATACCCCAACCAACCAAAGAGAACGGCCCTATGTTGTGCCACCCGCAACGTCCTCTCGCTGACAACCTTCATCATGTGATGCACGACCAAAAAGCGTTTTTTTTTTTTTCCTTTTCTCACACCAAAAAAAATCCCTAAAATTAAAAAAAAAAACACACACACAACACAATATATAATTGATAAACTAATTGAGAAAAAATAAAAATCAGATATTGGCACGGCTCAATCAGATAAAAAGACTCAAATATCTTAAGAATTTTGATCTGATTGAGCCGTGTCAACATCAAATGAAAAATAACAGAACTAATGTAATAGATATAAATTAAGGCATATCTAGTATCTGAGATATGCGAACTGCGAGAATGAAGTGAGATTGATTGTGGAGAGAAGGAACAACATATGAGAAAGAGAAGAATGAAAGGAGCAGGAATGGGTTGGGGAATGTGAGGGTGGGGAGATATATACACACAAAATGATGTACAAGAGAAGAGAGCAGTAGATGAAGAAGGAACAGGGTGATTATGGATTGATTGATCGGTTGCACCAAAATGTGGGTGAAAAGCAAGACTGAAGGTCCCCATGGGTTTGAAGCTGCTTCTACAGAAAAGAAATAAGCGTGATGGTGCTGGCTGTAAGTGTCATAATTGAGAATTGGTTTAGACAGCTTAGCTGTGGTTACTTTTGCAATCTTTGCTCCCCCACTTTTGCACGTTCTGTTTCTGCTGCCTCCCTTGCACAAGCAATGCCAATCTTGTTCCTTTTTTTTTCCCCCCCCTCTTCCAACTTCATTTTCATACCATGCATTCCCCTCCAAAATCTACTACTACTTTCTCTTGCCAACAGGACAAAATCATTCATATTACTGTCCATTAAAACATTATCATTATTACAACAAAAATACATACTTGCTCTGTTTTAATTAAATGACACAGTAATAAGTTACACATATATACACTTTTCATTGCACCAAATCTTCCAACACTAAAATTACTTGCACATCTGAGTGCTGCTATAGTTATTTATTTTAAGAAAAATTTCATTTAAAGACCGCGGTATAGAATTAATTTTAAAGAGCCCCCTAAAACTTTATGAAATTTCACTGCAGGACCAAAGGAGCAAACTGATATTAATTCCACAAAGAAAATGACAATATTGCCCCTCATAATACTTAATACAATGTGACATGTAAACGGACTAATTCTAATTGTAAATAAAGGTATGTATATTGCAAATTTTCTAGTCCTACTTGCAAATGAGCTCTCCCACACTTGTTCACTCATGGATACCTTCTTCAGGTGAAGGAAGTGACATGTAAATGAACCAATTCCAATTACAAATAAAGGTATGTATATTGCAAATTGTTTAGTCGCACTTGCCAATGGACTCTCCCACACTTGTTCACTCACGGACACCTTCTTCAGGTAAAAGAAGTGACATGTAAACGGACTAATTTTAGTTGTAAATAAATGTATGTATGTTGCAAATTGTCTAGTCATACTTGTAAATATGCTCTCTTACGCTTGTTTACTCACGGACACATTCTTCAGGTAAAGGAGGTGATATGTAAACGGACTAATTTCAGTTATAAATATATGTATATATATTGCAAATTGTCTAGTCCCACTTTTATTATGAGGGGCAATAGTATTTTTTTTTTTGTAGAATTAATATCAGTTTGCCATTTTAGTCCTGTGGTGAAATTTCAAAAAGTTCTGAGGATTCTTTAAAATTAATTCTATACTGTGGTCGTTAAACGAAATTTTCCCTTTGTTTTATGTCTCATTTGGTATAACTGAAATACAAAACGGAGACAATATTATTACAGATCTTGTAACAAATGGACATCCTTACTCAGCGTGAGTGGAAATATTTGACGATAGAGACATTGCCCTATTCTTTTTGTCTTTTTTGCCAACCATTGCCCCATTCATTTTCAGAATTAATAATAACATGGCGTCTCTATCATCACCATGACTTGAGTGGAGTTTCTAGCACACTGATCGATTGTTCTGAGCTTCTCCCGTGGATTCAAGAATGAAGCGAAATCGATGTCTTCTCCGGCCAAAGAAGAGTATGAATACGAGATCGTTGAGCAAGAGGATACTGGCCGGGCATGGAGTTGCATGGAGGTGCCAATGAGATTGTTCAATAATGGAGATTCCATGCAACCACCGAATCTCCGACCACCTGTTCAGGGAATAAAGCTCTGCGTCCGGACACCTCAAAAATCCCATTCTAATTTCCGTCCCTAGAAAGCAAAAGCAGTGCTTCACTCACCTGTTGGAGCCTTGAGATCCAAGTAAAAGGTGCCCTATATATGCTGTGTCCATGTCCTTCGTACGTGCCCACCAGTTTGAAATATCTCAAGCACAACTCACTGCCACGCCATTAATATGCAAAGCACACCCTGGTTCTGAGCTACCAAATAATTCAACACGCAAGCATATAATATCATTTTTAGGGTCAATTGCAATGCAATGCAAGAAAGAACCCCACTTCGCCTTACTAGACAACGAGGTAAAATATCTTTACCATATAAGGCTCACCAACTTTTGATGGCTGTCTTCTGCTACTACATGTCCGATTAAAGCAATGCAGTTCAAGTGGGCACCACCATTTTACACTTGCTTGCCTCCTCTGTCATACTCAAAACTGCTAGACTAATGTGTTGATAATCTTTCCACTACGTGGTTTGGTGAGACCAAACCCAAAACTCGGTTAGGATTATCACAAACAGGTTGTTCATGGATGAAATGTCACGTACAAGTGCTGAGGAATTGCGCCGCTTGTTATGCCTGTATGCTTAAACGTGGCATCCACCGCAACCTGCAGAATATTCGACCTCTATTATAACATGCAAGGAAAAGCACTGTTGAGATTGAAGATGATACCCTTCCTATCCTATCCCTATTCCTTCCACTTTTTATCTTCTTGAAGAAGATAAGGTTTCTATTTGTTTTCTCTGCTCCTACTGTACTGGGATCAGGTGATTCCCATGGCTGGTTTTGTTAGTGGCTTCAAAAAGTGCCCCATTTTTCCCAAGTGCTAAGAAATCTCAAAGTCTTAGGTTTCTCGTATTATACTGACAATGATGTGACAGTACATATATGAGACAGATTAGTCGACGTAGTGATTCAAGTCTGCTTTTAATAGCCTGCTAGAAAGAGCCATCTTCATTAAGCGCCTGGATAACCCCTCCAATTTTCTAACGGAAAGACGTGATTGCCTTGCATACTGTGCAGCCTCGCACGGTAAATTCGGATACAAAAAGACCGAATCCGATCCCTTGGCAAGCTATATCTTATAGCAAAAGTAGTGCCACAGGAATAGATTCTCCCGTTTTCCCTTCTCTTAATTATAACTACCAAAGTTTTTTAGTTAAATATTGTCAACTAAATCTCTAGTAACTTGCTCACGCATTTCAGCTTGCAGAGTATTTTAACACAAGTGACTCTTGATGTGCTGGTAAGGAGGATATTAACTCTAAATCTTCGTGCCAACTAACGACAATAAACATCAAAAAACCATTTTTATATAGGTGGTTGTTGGAAGTGAGTACTATCCATCAGATGGTATTGGTACATAAGGAGATAACTTCGTATCTCTAAAAGCATATCTGATTTAAGAAAGCAATGATTGCTAATAGCTACACATATCTTAAGTATATAATAAAAGGAAAAACTGGATCATTGAGATCTTAAAAAGCACCTAGATCTAATTAACTAGTGATTCGAATATATCTGTTAGCCAACATGAATTAAGAGAAATTATTCCTGGGGATATTTAGATAAGGGACCAGAAACCATTTACTCATCTCCACTGATGCTCAAGTTTATCTGCAATAAAAATCAGCACAAAAAGGTGGCGACAGAACAATATATAAGCAGGCCATCTTGTTATACGCAAAGCACAGTATAGGAAACAACAAATACAAACTCGTGAAGATGGAGTTTACCCGCAAGCGTAGCAGAGAGCTGTTGAAGGGCAAGTTGATGGGTTTGCACAGAGGGAACAAGGCATCTTCACCAAGTAACAAGGCAAAGCCGAGCTTATCATCTTCATCCTCTGGTACTGTGGGACACGTGGCTCATCAGGACTACGTAATTGCACAGTCAAAGCCGAAGGTTTCGTTTGTGGTGGCAGATAATAAACGCAGTGACGTTGTTGCTCAGTTGGAAGACATATATGGGGTAGTCGCTGATGAGAGCGTGGACACTAAAGCTGATCTGTATATATCTAGAGTTCAAGAGCGTTTCAAGCTTGAGCGATTGAACTCAGAACGCATGAGGTTTCAGGAATCAAGTTAGATTCTGCTCTTTGTCTGGCTTCCATGTATCTATCGTCAAACTTCCTTAGTCTTCACAGTTATAAGTTGTAACTGCGTTTTCCTTTCTTGTCTTTTCTTTTTTCTTTTGAGATTGTAACTGTGTTTTCTCTCAAGTCTATACAATACCAACGGCAGCAGAATTACCAATCCGTTTTAATTTCGCAGCGCATTATTCTAATTGTCCCCAACTATATACGTGATGTCTCGTTGAATAGGTGCAGCTCTGTTTTATTTTTATTTTATTTTTTTTCAGGTTGTAGCTCTGTTTTCTTCTCTCCCATGTTATTAGGAGAAGATTATACACCCTCGCAATCAGATGTCAAAACATCAATTCAATCTAATTCAAAGACACATGGAATTTTTAATACTCCTCCGGTCCTTATTATAAGACCCCATTTGACTTTTTATTTAGTCCTAATTATAAGACCCCAATCCATTTTGTCTCTTATATTTATGCATTTTTTGCCAAGATAATCCTTCTAATAATGATAGTTTTAGCCAATATACTTAATTAGCAAGGATATTTTAGGAATGACAACACTTATTTATTATAAATAACCAACTTAACTTACTTCCTTAATCTCCTCAAATAAGTCAATTGGGTCTTATAATTAGTACCGGAGGAGTATATTATTAACCACTTTAATTTTGTGAAAGTTTTAATCTGGTTTCTCAAATTTTAAAAGAACAGAATATTATTATTATTATTATTATTATTATTATTATTATTATTATTATTATTATTATTATTATTATTATTATTATCATGTCTTCCTAGTGAACCGACTTACACGGCAATATTGTTAATGTTAAGTTACCACTACTTGTATGTTTGTATTAATTTATTTTAAGTGATATTATGTTCTGCAAGATAAGCATGTAAAATGAGTTTTTCTTATACTACATAAAAAGCATATTTTTGGGGTTTCCGAAATAAAAAGATGTAGTAATATTTGGCGTTAAATAAATTCTTCTTTGGATTGGTGGAAGAAGGTAGAGCAAATTTTTTCCCCCTAGAAGAACATTATTGTTTATTTTTTGTTGTGTAAATATTATTCCTTCCAGAGCTCAACACTAGTAGCTTTGAAATAAAAGACTCGCATGATATTGCTTAATTAGTTGGGTTGGATCACTCTCCGGGTCAATTGACCCAGGCTGTCGTCGGGTTCATGAGTACTTCTTGTGTTTCGAAATACTTGCAATTCCTTGCTTCAGAAAATAAGAACAACAGAGAATTCTTCTCCCCTCCATCTCCTCACCTTATCCCATTGTCTCGATTTTCGAAACAGATATGATCCAATCCTTATCATATAAAAACCTCTCATCTTTTTCATTCTCACATGTTCCCGCGAATACCCCACTTGCCTCTTTTTACCCGAGTTGAGGTCACAGAATCATGAGGAGCCAAGTTGAGGATGAAGATGAACATTCGAGGGTGTTGAATGAGATCCAATCTATGATCTTTCACATCCTCAAGTTCCCTCTTTTACCCCTCCCCTTTCGCACCCCATATTCTCAAGTCGCTGCCTCCTCTTCCTCGTCATGGTCCTTGAATATGAGACATCTCTGGGCCACTTTGCTGTCGTCGCAGGTGTCTCCGGCTGCTCTTGCTTCTCTGTTTTTGGGGATTTCTCTGGCCTTGATGCTCTTCGGGTCCTTGGCTTTTGTCATCGGCTTCGTGTTATTGCCTTGGGTTACTGCTCTGGTATTGGCATTCTATGCTGCCACGGCGGTTTCAACCTTATCTCGATTGGGTCGGATCCTTCTTGGTTCTTCCCCGATGCTCAAGGATATGCCCCGTGAGTCCCCACTTACTTGGCACTTCCTTCCTGGGATGTTTTTCTCTAGTATGGTTCATTTATTCTTTTAAGCTTTTGTTGGTTATGCGTCTGGTTATTGTTATGGATTGATTTGCACGATTGTAACTTTCCGTTCCCTCTGGATTTCTACACTTGCAGGCTCGGATTTACTGAAAAGCTGACACCAATGTCTTCATCGGGCTAGAAGGGGAAAGATTGTCTAAGACGCTGAGATCGAGAGGATGATTCACACGTGTCATATATATTATTGACATTCGATTATAGAAGAGTTGTGATGATGTGGCATCAACTTGAATGAACTGATTAATCTGTTTCCCGTCTCTCTTTAGTTTTCCTCTTGTAATTAGTCTTGCTTTCTTATGGTTGGCTCAAAATCTTCTTTTTTGTAGTCTTAAGTTATCAAGAGTCTGTATTTCGCGTGCAAACCCTACTTCATAAAACTTCTGAACTTGATATTTCTGATCCTCAAGGGTCGCGAGTAATAAAGAAATAGGATTGACGACGAAATTTTCAGTTGACAAGTAATATAATCCGTTTGCTAATAACAAGCGCAATATGCTTTTACCATAATAAAAATCAGGGACGATGAATACAGAGTATAAGAATATAGAAAGACAAGAAATGAAATAGAGAAGTATCAAGAACTGATGTGAACTCCAATGGCAATGAGGAAGATAACCATGAAGCCAAAGAAGAGAAGGGTGTGGACGAAGATGGAGATGCCGCTGGTTTGGAAGTTGCAGAATTCCACGACGCGGCCTTTGCCTGGAAGCTGAAAGAGTAAGCCAGGAGTGAACAGCACAAAAAGCACTAGGCCAATCACCACAGGGCCCCAGTCTGCCATTTTTACCAGCGTGAGAGGAAGATGTAAATTCATGAAGGTGGAGGATCGTGGATTTATAGGAAGCAATCTTAATTGGCACAGATAGGGATGATAGATAAAACAAGACGGCATGTCAAGGAAGTCGGACAAGCCAGTGGGCATTGGATTCAACGATTCTGCATTTGAATTCTTCCGTCCCGGACGGCTTCTTTTGTCAGCCACCTCACTCCAAACTCCTAACTCTCTGTTACTCTTAGCCGCTGCCTTATCAATATCCAGAATACCCAAGAAACCCAAAAGACTTTCGCTTAACGATCTTTTTTCGCTTCTTCTTACCTTCAGATTCCTTCTTCTTCGTGGGGTTTTTTTTTTTTTTTTTGGGGGGGGGGGGGATGATTTCCTTTTCTTTCCTGCCACACGACATGCGCGTCTTACGTGGGAGAATACAAAAGCTAATGGAAATCTCTAGGACTTGGCCTAAAGTTCACACTTGGAAAATTGCCCACCTGCAAATAATGCTGCGCTGCTTGGAGCCCACCCAGATGGACAGTCCAGCATATGTGGAATCCAATCTCATGTCAATTCATCTCATTCTTTTCCAGATTCATACCATACAGGGCTCCCATTTTCAGGTCTGAGCACACAAATTTAGGCACCTACTCGAGTGCCTCGGGCCATCCCTCAAATCTTTCTGGTCATCCTTCTTTTTCTCTTTATCAAAATTAGTTTAATTGAATCCATAAGTTAGAGTTGCTTTAATAAATGCGCAAAGCAAACAGGAAAAGAAGCCGCCGAATGATAAATTATGCAGAAGCTTACGAGAAAATAATGAATAAAGCAGGACTCCTAAATAGCCATAAAGCAGATCCACTACCTCACATTATTATACCTTTCCTCTCCAGCCATCCCAATCTCTTCTTTCCCACCAAGTTTAGCATCATCCCCCTCTCCTTACTGACCAAGCAACTCTGTGCTACTTATTAAGAAACTGTCACATGAAGGCATCATTCCATCATAGTCCACGCACTTAGAAACCAACGAGAGTTCACAATGTTTGAGACAGAGATGGAAGCCGACTGGGGGCCAGTGATTGTGGCGGTGGCCCTCTTCATCCTCCTCTCGCCAGGGCTCCTCTTCCAGATACCGTCGAGGTTCAGGGTGGTGGAGTTCGGGAACATGCATACCAGTGGGATTGCTATTCTGGTTCACGCCGTCATATTCTTCTGTATTCTTACCATCCTGGTTATCGCCGTCGGCATTCACGTACATTTCACTTGATCCCATTTTGCTTCCATGCTCTGCGACAGCTCTGCCCAGTTGTTCAGTAATCAGTACAAGTTTTGTGTCGTTATTGCTGACAGTAATTATAGCCCTCTTTTCAGCAACTCCAGTTCTGTAGATTTCGGTGCTCCGTCAACTCGGCATACGTAATATGTGGCGACAGTCCTATAAATAGAAGTAAGCAAAACTTTGCAAATCCAGATGTTTCATGGTTCCAAATTTTTCCCCCTTTTGATTTATGTATAATTTGAATTGGGTATAAAGAATTAGTAGTGTTTAGTTTCAGGGTGAGACGACAGCCTAACAGAGTAGGCAAAAGAAATGATAAAATGATTGTGAATATAAGTAGGTTTCAGTTTGTAAGAGGCAAACCGAGCCAGTGATCATGTAATTTCGGTTTAGTCTCGCTAATTATAACATAGCAATATACTATCTTCTTAATTCTCATATCTACGATTGACTATTGATCTAATTTGGTCCAACCTCTTCGCCTAGTGTAATAAACGAGGCGGTGAGTTCTAGATGACATCGCCGCTGTATTGCTGATTCACATTTCATCGAGAGTCATTGCGCACAGAAATTTTAGTCTTAAATTCTACCGGGAGAGTTAATTCAGTAACTTTCTCGCATTAACATTATGGTAAAGTTCTGCCGATGAAGAACATTTTGTCACCGCTAGTCTATAGTAATCCTGCTAACTGAGCTTTTCATTAACAAGTGTTTAGTGATTAGCTCCCAAATATCAAGCATGAGATAGAGCTTTTCACTAAAACTTCTGAGTTAATATATGATGCTATCCTGAAAACTGAGCTTAATTAGACTAGTTAACACAGCAATCTTTTCCCCAGAATTACTCACGGAATCAGATCTTCCAAGTGTGAATCCTGATCCAGTGCCCCAAACATAAGAACATACGATAAATCATGCTTGGATAAACTATTTTGGCTGGTAGCCATTTATTGAATGGACATTTGGAACCCAGAACCAAGGCTAGCAGTCGAGCTGTGTTCCTGGGTTCCACGAAAGATTAAACATAGTAAAGTTTATTGGATTTTAACATCTATGATTGACCAGTGTTCAATATAATATTAGTCAACAACACTGAGAAGAAGAAAAAAAGAGACTAAAAATTGGCAGTCCACCCACCCGCATAAGAATAAATGACCAGATAAATAGATCTGAGGAAGCTGGATGCCACGGCCAAGAAGAGAGATCAGATCTGAACCGCATAACTATACAGAGTTGAGAATATAGGGTTACCGGTGGAGAAGGAATGATCCAGATCCAGGGCGGAGGTGTCAGCCAATGTAAATATGAATGTGGAGAGCCAAGAGAAGGATGGCGTAGAGTGCGAAGAAGATGAGAGTGTGAATGAAGATGGCTTTGCCGTTGGTCTTCATGCCTCCGAACTCCAGCTGCTTGCTGTGTCCGGGGAAGGAGCAGAGCAACCCTGGCTGAAGAAGCACGAACAGCACCACGCCGATGAACACTGGGGCCCAATCCGCCATTTCCTTCCGCAGCCGATCTTTCTTCCGATTTCAAGCTTTCGCTGCCTCACCGACTCCACTTCGCTTGCACGTTCCACTAGAGAAAGCCAGCTGTGACCTCAATTTCAAAACTGATAGCCACTGGGTCCCACCTACAGTCTCCTCTCGTGCACCCGCCCCTTTCTCCGGCCATAAGCTTCATTACTTTATTACTAATTAATATTTAAATATTTAAATGACCAATACCGTCTAATTCAGTCGCCTTTTTGAATTTTGACCCTTATCGTTTTGCATCCACGCTTACCAAAAGAATCACTTTCCATTCGCCTCTTCTAACACCACACCGCCATCGCGACGCTTCCGGATAAGAATAAATTTACGAAAGCAGAGAAAAGAGCCTTTGCCTAATAAATTTTCCTTTCTTATTTATTGATCGCAAAATTACACAAGAGCACAAAGCTCAGTGATTATTGGATGAAAAAAATATAGCATTAATAGAGATTTCAGTAGATTTTCCCTTCCTTTTGTTGTATCTTGTCAGCTTGCTCTCTGTAGCCCAGTAGCCTTCTTACATAATAGCGTGAGAGTGGGGGACAGGGACAGGGCTGTAATCAAACGTTAAAAAATGGACAATGATGGAGCTTCATCAGCCAGCTCTAATCACCATTGTTTAATAGAAGTGCGATGATAATACAGCCAGCCAGACCAACCAGCTTTTGGGAATGGACTAGTAAAGAAAACGATGCCTTCCCTTCTCTTATCCGGGGAAAAAAGAAAGGGAAATTAAATTTTTTTAAAAAAAAAGTGCATGATTGATTGATTATTTCTAGGTTGGGAATCGAATTCTCTTCCAAGTGGCGGAACAGAATAATATATGTGCCAACGGATGCTCTTCTTGCTCCTTCATATTCACATACACCGCCATATCCATATCTTCTTGTTACTGTGAGAGTTATTAAGGATGTTGGATTGGGCTGCTCCTCTGATAGCGGCTGCCCTGTTCGCATTTTTGTCGCCGGGAATGATATTTCAGATGCCCGGCAAGAATCGGCCGCTGGAGATTATGAGCATGAGGACCACCGCTGCTTCAATCTTTGTACACGCTGTTATTTATGGTCTCTTCCTTATTTTGTTCTTTATCGTTCTTAATGTCCATCTCTATTTCTGAATTAACCTCTGCTCTGCTACTGCGGTAGCTTAAAACATCAGCCTTTCCTCTGTTTATTTACGTCCACTGTATGTAACTGTAATCTACTGTTACAAATTAAACTCTAATCATTGCATGGACTGCTTTGAATTTTCACACCATAGCCCTCCTGATTCATGTTTCATACGCCTGCTCTTTTCTTCTTGGATACCATGTATGGCGGCCTTAAGAGGTTGTTTTTCTTTATCTGAATTACCTTTTGCTTTTTACCCAATTCCAATTTTTCAGCATGTTGTCGCGAAATTAAATTAAAATGAAACCATCTTGTTTCCATACCTATTAGCAAAAACGCATCAACCAAATTCAGCCACACGGTAACATAGAAACCTGACGGCTCTCTGTTCTTCTTCTTCGTAATGTGTCATAGAAAGTTAGAAACCTAAAAATTACGCGCGCGCGCATACATAGAAAGAGCATGGATCCCCAGGAAAAGCATGTTATTATTCATGGCTTGTAATCAAGAAACGAAAAACCCGCGTACTAAACTGGTTAAGGTAGTACTACTTCTGATACTAATTATAAGAGCTAGTTGACTAATATGATTAATTTGAAGAGATTAAGAAAAGAATTTAAGTTAGTTATTTGTAATAAATATATGTTGTCTTTTCTAAAATATCCTTACTAATAAAGTGTACTGGTTAAAACTACTATTATTAGGATGATTACTTTGAAAAAAATGCATAAATATGATAAACAAAGTGGATTGGGTTTTTATATTTAGAACCAAAATAAAAGTCAAACAAGGTCTTATATTAAGGACTGGAGGTAGTAATTCAAAACTTAAATGAAAGATCAACTCAAAGTCAAATTGGTTATATTAAAATAATATAATTTAATTAAAAATAACAAAATATAATAATATTAATGATGACTAGTAACAAAATACAAGAAAAAACAACAATAGTTTGATTGTAAAAATAACAAAATACAATAATATTAAAAATTTTAATATTTACGATTCTTAATAACTAAAATTAATAATCATTAATATTAGAATTATCATTAAAATTTGTTTAAATCTATAGTCATTAAAATGTTAGGAGCTGAATGAGAACAAATAAGATTAGTAGCAACATAATCATCCAAACCTGTTTATCATTGAGTTTTACCTATTCACCCTGATTTTATCGAGTTGGTACCGGTTCAATTTTTGGCCTGCTCAATATCAAAAGCAAACCGAACTACTAATTGGTGCACTAATTTTCTGGTTAAACTATCTGGTTCGGGTTTGTTTTCCTTTAACTTTTCCTAATAGCACTTCGGTTATGGATTTACATATAAATTTTATATTTTACGTTAATGCTGATATCAACGCAACGCAACATACAAGACGGGGGAAGGTTAATATGAAGTCCGGAGAACAAAGTCAAACAATTAGGGACGCAAAACTTGAGCTCCGCTCTTAGCGGCCAAGTGTGATCATCTGACTCGTTAGACTTCCAAAGTTCTGAATACCTAAAGGCAGGGGAGGGAAATCACGGACGTGATGGATTCGAGACATCTCGGTCCCTTGGTCTCTGTCCTTTAAACGACATGACTTTCATTTGTTGAACTAATTGATCGATTGATTATTTGTCAGATTTGTTATTTTTCAAAAACTAATTCATTAACTTTATAAATTGGTACATAATTTAATGTTTATATATATACACACACACATGGTATAACACCACATACTCTACTCTGACTTCAACGTCCTCCTATCAAAATTGCCAACTGGGGCGGCATGCTTGTTTCTTTCTTCTTTATTCTGTTCTTTCTTTTCTTTTGTCTTTCACCTAATCCTTTTTCGAGGGTCACTATAAGTTTTAACACTCACATTAATTCATCAGATGAAGCCTAAAATTCAATTAAATACGAGATTATACAGTAATAACCAGAAGTCAGAAAGAAATGAAAGGAGTACGTGGAGATGATAATGAAATTGGAGATCAACTAATTAACCCAAGTACAAATGGATGCTGACAAGAAAGTAGAAGATACAAATGAGAGCAAAATAGAGCGCTGTATGAACCAGAATGGAGACACAACTGGTTCTGAAGTTCCCAAACTCCATGAACTTGCCGCTTGCCGGTACCTGAACCAGTAAGCCCGGCGTTAACAGTACGAACAGCACCACCGCCACAAACACCGGCCCCCAGTCCGCCATCTTCGTCTTCTTCTTCCAATGCCTGCTTTTACGAATAGCTATCTATATATGTTGGGACGACAATATGTGCTTATAACTCAAAGCAGACAAATATACACACATATATATAATTAGATATGTATGCATAAAGCAGAGGATACGATCGATGTAATCTATCCTGTGCAAGAACGTAAGTGACTGATGACGAGGAAAAGCCAAAGTAGTTGTTAACGAAACAAAAATGGACCTATGCCCATTCAAATTTTAGGAGATGATATGTATAAGACCAGTCAACCACGCACTTGCTTGTAAAGGATGTGAATTAATCCATGTTTTTTTTTGAAATCCATAATCTGCTTTAGAAGTTGGATCCAACAACTAAGCAGCAAAGGCGTGCTTTTTTGGTTGCTTACTAATTAAACATCCTTATGAATACAGACATATCTATTTGCGTTATTGTTTTAATTTATTAATTTTTCCTTTATTTTGTATGGCTGAAAAAAGTTTCTTTTTCATAATATAAAAAAAAAATTGATGCCCAGCCCACTTTTGTGTCCTTTATTAATTACTTAGTATTTGTATTCAAGCCGCTTGTTGAAATTTGTTTAAGTAATAACCTAGCTACTTTTGATAGGTAATTAATCAGTAGTATGACGGAAAATTTTAAAAGAAAGATGCTTAAAAAGCTATCCAGATATTTTTTTTAAAAAAAGAAGAAGAAGAACAACACCAGACATGCATTAATGAAGCTAAAGCAGGCATTTTTATGATACTGCATCGCTTTGAAATGTCATTTTAAGCTAGGATGACTAGTATTTGGCGATAATTACACACGAGAATTGGCAAAATTGATCCGAATATAAGATTTAGAATTTGTAGAAATAATTAGATGAGGAGGACTCAATTCGTTTGACTTTGACTCTGGCTTCGACCCTTAAGCATTGATTGCATGCTGTATCTACAGATCAGTTGGCTTTTGCAGGGGACAGAGAAAATATACGGAAGGCGAAAACACGTGGGAGTGATGGATGAAGACACATATGAAGGAAATCATCTGGGAAAAGAGAAGAAGTGTGAAAAGAGAATACCAAAAGCGAGGCTTGTAATACTGAGTCTGACCCAACAAGAGGAGGAGGCAGACAAGATCGTCGAAGATGATCACGATGACGACTTAATGAGTACGCAAAAGTATAAATAAAGAAGGAGGCTCAAACACCAAAACGACGTCGACAGCAGGGTTCGAACCTGCGCGGGCGAAGCCCAACAGATTTCAAGTCTGTCTCCTTAACCACTCGGACATATCGACGTTGGTGAACCTCGTTCCCCATTAATATATAATCTACATAAAAGTCCAGCTTTGTGAGTTCTCATAAAAAACATGGTCTTCTTCCAAAGAGACAGCCCTGATCGTGTTATTCCCACAGTTGATAGTCATTGCCCTCACCCTGCATTGCTATGACGTAGCCATCTGACTCGGCATTGCAACTCAGAGTAGAATGATGACTAAAGGTGTGTTTGGGATTAAGTTTGGAGGCCCAAACGTACATTCCAACCGGAAAAGTAATAGGTAGGTTGAAAAACGATATTTGGATCCACGTTTTATGCATATGACTTCTGTCATTGAAATAAACTTATGCAATAAGCTCAAAGAAGCTGCTTTTACTCAATCTGACTTCTGTAAAAGTTAGATTAGAAAAAAATTACTTCTGTCACCGCTATCCTAAACACACTCTAACACAACAATATTTTTAAAGCATTTTTTTACTGGCCATAACCATCCTAAACTTATAATATTAAGCGCTACTAGAAAAATATGTTAGTTTTCTCAATCTGCAAAAAATTACTTTAATACCCAAAAAAAATGTAATAAAATGAGTTTAAAATATTAAATATTACGGAAAAAAAAGACTCGAGGCACTGAATATTACTTAATCCCTTCAAAGCAGCAAAACTGAAAAGTTTCCGTGCTCTTCTAAAAGAGACTATTGACAAATCAGGCTATTTCTTTAGTAGTTATGGGCTATGGATCTCTCTACGCTGTTATATTTTTGTTTTAGCTGGAACATGGAATTGTCAAATAGTGACAAATTATTGCCGTCCAGCTTGTGCTGAGCTATAGTAGTCACACAATTTCTAGACGAAACCATTCACGTCATAGAAAAATTGATCTGATAAGCTTTTAGGCAATAATGTTATGATTAATCCAGTAGCTTGGTTACAATTTTCACACTGATTGTCAATTATTTCCAACATTAATTTTCTTCATTATTTGATTAATCATTGGTATTAACAGAATCTATAATTCTGTTTTTGCGTCCCCATAGTCAATTACAGCTATATATGTTTCGTACGCGACGTGGCAGGTTATAACGGACACCCCCATGCTTTACACTTGCATCATTCGATCAGGTCGTCCAGAGAAGAAGAAACACATCACTCTGTTTGATCATTGATCAGGGGAACCACTGGAAAAACAAAAAGTTGACTAATGCGGAAACTTGCTGGAAATATTATTTAATACTATATATAATAGTTACGTATATATATATATATATATATGGGACTACAAACATATTATTACTGTATGAACACACCATGCACAGAAATCTCACGAAGAATTGAATTTAGTACAATCTTTCCTAATCTCGCCTTCATTCCCAGTCTTGACCCCGACCCTCCCAAGCTTCCTCATGGCGGTGGCAAAAGCAGCGTTGAATTCAGCAGCGTTGTTGGCGAACTCAACCACCGTGGACCGTGAATCGGAGTCAGTAAAGAGCACCTGATCAGAATTGAGCAATCCCTGACCTGAAACCAAGTTCTGGTAATACAAATTGTCGAACGCTTGTGGGGATTGAACATCCAGATCGATGGCCACTTGAGGGTCAAAATTTCTAGGGCACTGTTGCATCAGGCTTTGGGCGAAGTCGGAGTTCATAGAAGGATCCACCGTGGAAGAGTAGAGTCGATCGGTGAACTCGTTGCAGTGTGAGAACCCCACCGTGTGTGCTCCGGACAGTGCTATCATATCGGTTTGGCTCAAACCGTGCCGACGAAACATGGCATTGAGTTGGTTCAGATTGAAGTTTGCTTTTGGTAGGTTTCCTTCGACCCGAGAGGCACTTGAAACGAGGCCATCCCTGCGTCCGAGTTCGACGTTGAACGAAGGGCCTCCAACCTGAAGAATAATGAATGATACATCAGAGTTTTGGATTGAGATTAATGGAAGTTTTTGGGTTTGGGTTGACTAATTACCAAGGCGACAACGTCTCTGGCGGCGAGAGCTAAAATGTCTGCGCATGAAACCAGGCCGGGGCATTCAGCTTCCACGGCTTCCTTCACTTTAACCACCGTGTCGAAGCCATCTCCGGCCAGCGTTAGATTGATTTCGGCATCCTTCTCTGCGTCATTATTTGGCGATTGGATCATCACCGAAGCGTCACATCCCTACCAATGTGTTACAGACACAAGCATGCATTGATTCAGAGCCCTCTTGAAGAAGAAGAAGAAGAAGAAGAAGAAGAAGAAGAAGAAGAAGAAGCGATTTTGCTGTTATTTGTACAGTAGTAGTTCTGTTGTCGGTGGTTAAATAAACTCAGAAATAATAGCTCAGGTTTGTTCCTTTTTATTTTTTATTTTCTTCCTAGTCAATTGTTTTTTATTCTGTGTTGGCGTCACAGGAACGTAACGGCGCCGCCCACTCGAGAACGTTTCAAATTATTTTAAACATAACGATTAAAAATGCCCAGAAATGGGGGAAAAAAAAAAAGAAAGACAGGCAGCCCGTTTTTTCCTGAGAATAACAACGGATCGGAATTACAATCAGCTGCAATTATAAGATCAAGGAGGGGAAAAGAAAGCATCAAGGCTCTATATTTTCGTGGCAGATACCTAAATAGATACTAAGAGAGATAAGGGATGATTATTAATTAAGCACTAAGAGAGATGAGGGATGATTATTAATTAAGCTATTGTCGAACTAATTAATCCGGCTTATTAAAAGGAGTTGAGAGAGAGAGAGAGAGAGAGAGAGAGAGAGAAGTACCTCAACCATGCAGTCATGGAAGAAGAGACGAAGAGTTCCAGGAATGGTGGTGAAAGTCTGAGCCAATTTATTGGTCACTGCCTGGTTTACTATGGCTTCAAGGTTTGGACATGTCGAACTGTAAAAATTCTCCCTTAGCTGTGCTTCTCCCCCACACATCATCGCAAAAACCATCAACAAAACCACTATTCTTCTTCTTCTTCTTATCTCCATCTCTCTCTCTCTCTCTTCCTCAATCAACTTCCAGATGATATCTATATATCTTAGCTTCTCTCTTTGTCTGATCTTTGTGACCTATATATATATATTTATGCTGCGCTACATAATAAGATGACTTACTCGGTTGTGAAGTTGAAATTAAGCATTTATTAATTGTCACATAGCTGTTTTTGTCCAATTTTCTCTTCATTACTTTTGTGTTCCAACTTGTTCAAAATGATGCTTCCCCACTAACGTTACCCTGGATCCATTTCGTGACATATATTAGAAAAATAAATAACCTTTTACGTAGGATGATTAATATGTATTGATTATGTCATAGTAGGAGTGTGGAGATTAGTGAAATTATAATCATATTTTAAAGATGTTATACACAATCTGAAATAGGTATATGTCCTTTGTGGTGCAAGAGCATTTTAATGTCAAATCGTGTCCGCGTGTTAATGGTGTTTGGAATGAGTCCTTTTCGCGGATGCCCGTCAACCGAGTAAGATATGGCCAACTTACAGATTAATTCCTAAGTAATTTTTTTAATTTTTTAAAGCCATGATATGATTAAGCTTGGAATTAATAACATATAAGGAGCTTCGAATTTTTTATGCGCAAGTTTCATAATAATTAACAGAAGTTAATTATTTTAATGCTTAGTTAACGTTTGAATCCATATTTAATTTTTGTCTAAACAAATTCATAACTATTTCTTAACATGACCCTACACTGCAAAAGTCATGCTAATGAAAATAATCTACATTATTATTTGCACACGTCAAACTAAACGTTGATTGGTACAAAATCCTCAGTCTTGCCTGAATCTTGATTGGCCATCGGAATAAGACTTAATATGAAGGCAAAAGCATGACCGGGACTTGCATATTTTTTCCCTTGTCACGTGTACTGACCCATTCATAAAGAAACGTTCTTTAAAATGAAAGTATCTTTCGAGAATATGCGATTAATTAAACCCTTTATTGTCAACTTTTTTTGATGAAATGAACAATGGTGTTTTCAAGTGGAATCAATTGGAATTAGTAGCCATTGCTTGCAAATTTGTATATCAACGTGGTTGCTGATGAATAATTTAAACCCATTTGGTACCCAATGAAAGTGATGGATTTTGACGGTTGAACTAATCTGGCTTAAAAGTAGTGCAGCGATCTGATTTTCCAATTCTAGTTCTAAACTTGGTCTCTCTTTTTTTAGCAGATCTGGTAAAAGCTAATTCTTCTTAACTAGCTGTTGTGCCTGATCCATGGGTATGTATGTGGACAGGAAACCGCATAACCATTGAGATTGTGACAAATTCATTTGTGTCTTTATTTGACTTTCTGGAATTTACGTGATGCCTTTCAGTTTTGGATATAGAGGTTACTCCTCATATGATCTTTTAAACTTTAATATCATATATATATATATATGCTCTGCTTTCTCTATGCGAGTTGATCTAGTTTCAGCGCCCATGGTTCATGCTTCAACGGTAGAGAAGGAAAGTTCTGTTTGATTTGATTATGGCCTTCATTATTTTGGGTCCATAATTGCTAGTTTTTGGTCAAATTTCGTGATTTTGGATAACCTTAGAGCATGTGATTGTAGAATGCTTCTGGAGTAGGACTTCGTACTGTACTCAATCTTGGTCCCAATAAAGTAACATTATCGTTAAACATGATTAGGTAAGTAAAGCCACGTTGAGATGTCGGCAAATTTACTTTATTAATTACTTCTGTTCGGTTAATATAATCTGTGGCCCAAGCCTCTTCCACCTAAGCGCTAGCTACGCATCTTTGTCATCTTTTTCACTTGAGGAGATGCATTCCATTATATTTCATCAGCCTGGCTTTTCCGTAAATATAGGACAATATTTATGTCAAATTTCTTATATTCATTAAGTTTTCCAATTACAAATAGCTATGTCTGATTGGAAAATTTTAACATAATAAACATAAGAAACATGGTCTAAGCCTACATATTAGGTGGCATCAGTCTTCGGAGGACTATTAGTTTCATTTATAATATCTGGTGAAGAAACTTTTCTTGCCATTCAAAGAGCCCCCGCATTTTAGGGCAGAAACAGGACATCGAATGAAGAAACTTTAACAATTTACAATGTAAAGGAGCTACATGGTTACAGTGAAGTGGTTTGATTAAATGAGTAAACATGTGTCATTTGATGGCCACACCTTAAAATAAATCAAGGTAGAAAGAATGGGCATGCTTTTATATCTACCTTGGCATAAATAAAGGAGACGCTTTCCTCTGAACATTAATCTCTTGGATCTGGTCAGTCGACAAAATGGATGACTCGCTTTCGTAGTTGGCATTTTCCATCTGCTGGTGGATCTGTAAGTGCCAAATAATTCTTCACTCTAATTTACAAGGACGAAGATAGTTTGATTGGTGTTTGGTAAGAAGAATCAAGATGCCAATCCATTCATGCAAACAAAAGAAAGATGAAAAGGTAGGCAGAATTACAAAAATCTGATAAATTATAAAGCAAAAGCTCGACGGATCAACCAACAAGGAGACTGATGATTTAACGAGAAAATAAGCCCAGTAAAATAGAATAACTAGTTGGGTACTTACTTTATGAAAATTAAAACCTTAGCACACTGCTATTAGTTTTCCACTCGGCTACTTGTCAAGCCAATAATCTCATTTTAATCAAAAGAAGACTTCACTTCCCGTTTCAGCAGTGTTTGTAAGCCATTATTGAATGTAAAATATAGGTGGAGCCAACAATAGAAGTAACAACATAAGTAACAACTAATATCGTCGACTGTCTTCTTATATGGGTGGCATGGTTGGCAAAAACTCTCAAATACTTAAGAAACTGCAGTGATTACCTTGTCAAGAATGGCTGACTGATCATCTAAAGGAAACTTGCGCATGTCCTTCAGCATCTCCAGTTGCTACACGTTCGATATCTTAATGTCAATACTGCACTCATTTACTAAAATGTTTTTCTGGAGATTAGCATTAAATTGTACCTTTTCCTGTAATTTTTGCTGGCGGAGCATTCTTTCTATAAATTCATCTGGCCCGAGCTCTGCTTCATCACAGGCTATCTCTTCTCTGCCATTTCAGTGTATAAAAACATCTTACCATGAATAGTTACCATGAATAGTTACTTACTAATCTTTCTAACATAAGCAATTAAAGACTTCCACACTAGGGTTCTATCAGAAATGTCGTTTGTTACATCAAGAGGACCCACATCCCACTCCATCCAAATCACCTAAGCTATCCTAGGTGGCAGAAAATCATCAGAGCATGTCTAGGAATTGTCTATGGCGAACATCACAGAGAGTTAAGGTTATGTGGGACAGTAGAGAGAAATGAGGGAGATAATGAGAATTACAAGAGAGGGATGAAGTTGGGAGAGAGAACTGATAATATAACCTGACTTCAACTGGTCCCAAAAACTAACATACACCCAGGGAGAGCATATTTAGAAGGACCCCATAACAAAAAAAATAAATTAAATACATAAAAGCTTCAAAATGAACTAAATAACCTCCAATGTTCTAGGTATCATTTCTCCTAAATTATGTCTAGAGTAAGCTTTTAATAATTCTATTTCTCTCAATATTCTACCAAGATTATCCGTTATCAGGGCAGACCCCTTATTCGACTCTTACAAAGGTCACTACAACTCAAACTAGACAAGGCATAGACACAGAACAGTCACTGTGACGCTGTCTGAATGCCTCGTTCTAATATAAATTTTTGAAGAGAGCTTGCAAGACAAAAGAAAGTGGATGGGGCATACAGATAGTGGAGAAAGGACTTACTTTGCAATGAATTTATAAAATTGAATCACCAAATCCAGATCATTATCATATACAGTGCTCACTTTACCCAGGCATGAAATACCGAATCGTGGATCTGTTGTCAACAAATGGCACAAGTTTCAACTCGAGTTACATCATGCAGAATAAAGCCACAGAAGCTGATCAAATTGTAAAATTTATATATCCATATATCTATAAAATCTCTCCCGCAATTTGGGTTCCATACCAGAAAAGGGCTCAAGACCTAGCTGTAGAAGGAACAAAAAATGGCCATGAATTGATTTGGTCATAATATGGTTTTGTTTACTGAGAATAAAAGTAGTCTTCTCTTTATATGAGATAACAGATTCTGCATACAATTAGCTAATTTCATGTATCACTAATATAAGGCCTAAACTTGCTTCACAACAATATTGAAGTGCAGAAGACGGTAAATGGTTTTTTTTCTTTTCTCTAGTTAAAAGAAAAGGGAATGAAAGGCTGATGTCACAAGATCATAAATGACAACTAAGATGATCATCTCACTCACTTTTCTCTCTCGCATTAATAAGTAAATTTCGCATGAAAATGCAGCACAGGTTTCTCTCACGAAGGAATAAACAAAATCTTCAATCAGGGATGCATAACAAAGCAAAGCATACAGACATTATAATACCGCAAACTAACATGCATACGGTTATTATAATACTGCAAACTAACATATTCACAATACAACCAACTTACCAACTCCCATCTCTAAAAATATCTCTTCCTGTATCGCAGTGGTCACAGCAACAGCTTCCTGTCCGTGCCGCATTTATTCCAGAAAATGAGTGAAAAGGCAACATACATTATCTGGTCTAATAATGTTAATCCCATGAATTTGAAAAAACAGAAGTGGTAAAACGTTAGAATACACTCGGACCAAAAATTGTCCGTATGTGCCTGAAGTCCCAACATAACAGAAGCGAAATGCTGACCAGAACTCGTAAGGATAAGCAAGCATGTAGCACAATGGCCATATCAGATCCCTGATCACATCTTGTCACCAGTTCAAAACTACTGAAGCCAAGTACAAAAGAAATACAGATGAATGTTCTAGATACTCCAGTTAAGTCGAGACAAGAGTCTATCGCCTATGAGGAAATAACTCATTTCCCCGAAAATTAAATCAGTAACAAAGCAACGAATCGAGGCAACTACAAAATTCCTTCGGAGCAAACCCGCTTACAATCACTAGCATATAATATGTCTTTTACGTAATATGACGAATCGCGAAATTCCTATCTTTGGTCCTGAGATAGAAGATAAGCCGCCCAACTTAAAGGGAATTCAAGAGCGAAGAAATGGGAAAAGGAACGAGGAAGGGAAAAGGAACTATCCCATGAGAAATTCACCTGTTTGTCCTGGACAGCGTCTGCTATCCTTTTCTTCACTTCTGCAAACCAGAACCGTAACCAAAGAAGCATTACAAAGCCAAAATAGAAGGATGATTGCAGAGAATGAAAAACGGTGACAAGTTACCGGGTTGGGAAGTAAGGAAACAGAAGCGATCGAAAAGATGGAGAAGCTGTTCTCTTGATAGCATTCCAGTACCCCGTACAGGAGGAGTTGCCATGGATGAAGGCGACAAATCCTACTATCGTAACCCGCAAGATGCTGTTCTAAGAGGACTGTATTCGACGTCGGTCTCTGTACGTCACTGGTCACTCCTTTTTCCTTAATTTTTTTTCCTGAGAACTCAATAATTTGACCACTCTATATGCGCCTCCGAGCCTGAGGCTTCGTTATCTCATAAGCATTAAAAAAGTAGGGGGGAAAAACAAGAAACTCTACTTGCCTTGTCCGAACGGGGGAAAATTACTAGCAGGGAAAAAAAAAAAACTTTTCTCACAACTATAAGCAGAGTTTTATTAACTACTTTTTTTCTTAATTCTTAATAAAACTTGGGCGTCAATATTTAACTTTGATTTTGCCAAGCAATATTTAACTACTTTTTTTAAAACCTTTGACGCTTCGTTATATGTCCGATAAGTAAAATAAGGATTTGAAACTGTTCTCACAGACAAAGCCAACCCAAGTAAAAACAAAAAAAAAAAATATGATTGATGTTTTTATTAAAAAATAAAAAATTATGTATATATTATTGCAACACATAATAATAATAACTAGAAATTTCTCCCCGTAAGCATATTTCATTAGATTTAAAATTTTAATAAATACAATATTTTAGGTAACTCAACATTCATTTCTTATAAAAACATGATTTTTTCATTCCTTCAAATGAGATTTGAATGAAAGATGCAAAATTAAAGAGAATATATGAAAATTTGAAATTAATTATTTATTTCTCCATTTAAGCTTTCAATTAACATTATATTTAATTATTGTGGTTCCTATTTTATTCAATATATTTAAATCGCAATTAAAATATTATTCAAATTCAAAATTAATTATTAATTTCTCCTTTTGAGTTTCCAATTAAAATCCTATTTAAATTCAATATATACAATTCTCAATCAAGATGTTACCCAAATCTTATTAATTAAATATATTCAAACCTCATAATATCATTCTCGATCCATTTTTAAACGAATTGTATATTACAAGTTTTCAAGAATATAGTTAATAAACTAATTGAACAATAAATCTAACTGCCAGTTTCATGGCCCAAATGATTAATTTAGATTTTTTTTTTTGAGCAATACTTATATCAAGTTCATACCCATCATATCCATTATGTCAAATTCTACAATCACACAAGATTATATATTCTCCTTTTAAAATATTAACATTTAATTACAAATACACATGAATTTAAAAAAAAAAAAAAAAAAGACACCTAGTTATACATGATTGGAGAGCTTAAGAAAATACAACGTGACCACTCGAAACACTCAGATCAGTCACTGATCATTCGACCTTTCTTTATAATCTCTCTGTTTTACTACAAATCAATATCATAGAGGCACCAATTAATGCGAAGTAGGCAGAGAAAATATCAAGTATAATATCTACTTTGACTCAAGCAAAATGAGCTTCAACACATGACCCCTACTTACATGAAATATCTAACTACTTCATATAATATGAATCTTGTCTTGTCCGTGTTACATCCATTTCCATCTCTTCCTGTTTGTTTGAACCAATAAAAAGATGTGAAGTTGAAATTTACAGGGAAAATTGGGGAAAGCTGAACAAGAGTTTTTTGAAAGTTGAAATTCAACCAAGATGCATGACTGAATTTCAAATGGCGGAAGGGATGAGGTCTTCATCTCCCTCAGTTTTCTGATCATCTTGCAACTCCATCCAAGGTAAAATAGGTCCCTGAAAATAATATATTTCTCAAATATCAGTGTATTGAGTATGCTATGCTTCTCAATGTCATGTAAAATAACAAAGTAAATATTTCTTTTGTTTAATTATGAACTCTAACTTTTATAAGATTATTAAGATGACAATTAAAAGCCATAAGCATCCAAGATATCCGACAAGACTTGATCAAGTTTCCACAGTCTGATTCACAAAGTAGTCAACAAGTCAATGTATATTACCTTTCCTTGTCGTATGACTGTCGGAGGAGCTTTAGTCATATCAACCACAGTGGATGGCTCAGCAACTCTCACACCGCCATCAACAACAAAATCAAGACCCTAAAGAAGAAACCGGTGTCAATAAATATACTTTTAAGAATGGCTGCAGTGACATTTTTCATGCACACATGCAAAATCAGCTTCACTAGAAGGAAAATTATAATGCAAATGCAGTGTACCGTAAACATTACGCGGCCTATTTCTAATAAATATTTAAAAGTCCATAATAATAGTCAACATTGTTACAGCGAAAACAAAAAAAAGAAAAGAAACACATCACTTGGAACAAATAAAGTGACCCACCTCGGGTCCATATGTATCAGCAATCATAACAGGATCAACCATCCACGCATCTTCATTTCGGAACTTGATGCTGAAAAATGGATTAAAAATCCAGAGCAAGAGTCAACATGTGGAAGCATCAGTTGCACAATCTAATTGCTCAAAAGAATTGGTTTAGAACTAGGTCCTGTTTTGCAGCAAACCATTTCTGTTTTCTTCTTGTTTTTTGTCTGTGTTCTTGTATTTTCCTTTCCGGGGTGTGAGTTTTTTTTTTTTGGGGGGGGGGGGGGTGGTTAAAATCAATTAAACAAACCTTGTACATATTAAGGGTGCATCCATCTTCTCCAGTATTGTCTGACAAATTGCATCATCAGGCATACGGACACCCACGTTTTTCCTTGATGCATATTTGGCAGCAGTAGTGCCATATCTTATGCATTGTTTAGGCAATTCTTTACTTGCTATTAGGATGAAAGTATACTGTGACAAAAATAACTGGTGTTAACAACGAGCTGGCTCCACTTAATGCAGCTGAAAATGCTAAATTGGTGAAATAACAAATAAAAATGAAATGTTGCCACCCACAGAGATGAGAGGATACTAAACATGAAACATAAACAACGTGTGACAATAAATTGATGCCATGACATACATTCTTATGTTACATGAACAATAACTGATCTAAACCAATCCATGCTTTCTAGGTCATAAATATATCCATGTGGTTAACAAGGGATAAATGATACCAACAGTTAAACAGTCTTGTTCGTCAATTAAATAGCAACTATAGAAGCATCCAAAGAGCATACTCACTGGACCAGGTAAGTAAGGCTTAACAGCTTTGAATATATTTGTATGACCTTGACCATCGCCACGTGGAAATCCAATAGTATACTTGTCTATGTCCCGAAGCGAGTGGCACAAGATGCTAAGAGGCTGCATTTGTAAAACCATCACATACATTACCAATAGGAAGTTAAATCATAGCATACACAAATGTAATCAGACGCCTGGTGTAGGACTAAGTTCTTGACATACGCCATAACGTTAAAAGTTTGGCAATTTAAGCTTACTCAACAAGATTGAATACTAATAAAGTAAGGTTATACTCCTCGCCTTTGAAGCTTCTATCTTCTTGATTCTGCAATGCAAAACTAGACCCTTTGTAGATGAGATGAACAAAGAGTTACTTTGGGGCGAGAAGTCCCATAAATTAGCAAAATTTGCCTACCTACGGAGACGCTCAATGGCTGAGTGGCTTCTCAGATCACATACTATAGCATACCTACATAAAAAAAAGAACTGCAAGCAGTCACGCCATTATCTTTTATTTTAGGGGGGAATTTAAGGCTTCCAAAAAAAATAGGAGATTGAGCATTTGGGCTAGCAAATTGTGTATTGATGCTCACAAATTTGTTTAAATTATATTTATAAATCAAAAAGCAAAAGGCAAATGCTGATAATTTAATATCCTCCAATATTTTAGATCTTGAGAACCGAAATTTCCCATCACATATTGATAATTGTCTACACCAAGCAGAGTCTCGTACTTCCCAAGAGGGGTGTTCGATTATAAATCATCTTAGTACAAACCAGATGAAATAGAACGAAGATATAGACAAAATTAAGAGACGAAAGCAGAAATCTTTTAACTGCATATAGACTCTGCTCAGATTGCTCAAAGAGCTCAACAGAAAATGTGAACGTCTTGAGCAGACCGATCCAAGATCAATTCAATACTGTTCATCAGAGGGTAATTAGAAGCCTAGTAGGGTTACAAACAATTGGACATGAAACGGAAGACTACATCAAAACAATTATAAAAGGAGTTTAGAACAGAAGAACAAAAACATACAAGCCTGGATGAGAATAGCTACATAAGATTTAAAAGGTCAATAGCAAAGGGGCCTGAACAAGATAAGAAACTTAACAGGGTATCCGTGGGAATGACTCCAACAGCTCCTTCATTTAAAAGATTAACCACGGGTTCTAACTTCCAGCTGTCAGACCCCGACGTGTCCGCTTCAACGTAAAGCAAACCACCTTCCTGATATTTCCAGAATCAGTCCCAGATAAGGTTAAGTGTATTGAGTAGTAGATAATATCATATAAAAGAGAAGAGCTGGATCATGCCAATAAACAGAGATGGCACCTCCTCGTCGATAATAAAATTTCACTCAAGCAGAAAAATAAAGAAGAAACCAAAAGGGACGAATATTTGCATCACCAACAAAATATTGTCCGCCTCCATTATAAACAGGCAACAGAAAATGCTCATGGCTTCAGCCAATCAGGGAGAAATAAATAGGTACCAACCAGACAGTATTGAAGAAGAATAAGATGGAGGGGAGATAAAGGCAGAGGGATGGCAATAGACGAGTAAAAAGTAAAGAGTGATGAACAAGACCTTGGTAAAGCGAGGAGCCGTATATTTGAGACGCTTAGGACTCCGCTTAACAGCCATAGATAGAACTGAGAACTTGCGGGTATTGGGCAGGCGAAAGGGGAAATGAGTCTGAAGCAATATATCGGTGGCCATTGCAGAAAAGTGACAGAATGTGAGACAAATCAACGAGTCACAACCGCATAGCTTCTGTCCAGAAAGCATTAGCAATTTATTGTTCAGAAACCCTCAGAAGTTGAGAAATTTCGAGATGTAGCGAGGCTTCTGTTCCCACTGGCAGGGGCCCGAGGGCAGGGCCGACGAAGCAACCATAACGACGTTCGAGTATGGGCGATGAACAACGAACATTATCACCTCATCTGTCTTGACGACACCGTTTGGCCGGCCTCGAACGTCATTAAGAACGGGCTTGACTGCCAGACCACTTGACCCAGACTGGCGCGGTAAAAATTCCACATAAACCCGTTTTATATATATCAATATAAAACTCATTTTATATACTTATTTTATATTTCGTAAATCACTATAAAAAAATTATTTATAAACTGTTTATAAATTATTCCAATCAGACCTATTATCTTTTACTGTTGTCTCCATGGTCACGGCTTCTATGAACATAAAATCAAAATAAGCGCTTTTTTTTTTTTTGGCTTGAAGAAAAATACGTTTTCCTTTAAAAATGAGATCAAAATGATTATATGTTTATTTAAAATTGACTTTAAAGATTATATTTATTTTTAAGTTAAAAAAAACTTTTTAGCCAAAATTAAATAAGCATAAATTGCTAATATGTGAAAAGGACCACAAATCCCGACATTATACTTGCTCTAGAAAATGCACAACAACACAACCAACAAGAAGAAATGCTTTGAATACTGGGTCAATTCAAGGCATTCAAACTGAAGAAAGGAAAGACTTAAGCTCAATGAATCAACATAAATCGCCATCACTCCGCTAATACTCCTCGAGACATGAGCACGCAAAACCGTAACAGAGCAATGTCTCGTGCGTTTGAATGAACTTTGAACGCTTATTAGGACCTTATTTTCTTTCACGTAAAATTCCTTCTGACGAGATAGATGATGGCAGCGCTTCTAGTATTAGCAACATTTTTATTTCAATGCTGTCAGTGGAGGATGCCCCGCTATCTGCTCGGCATAATAGCTTGTCAACCCAATCAACTTAACAAAACATTTCATATGCTAAACAAATAAAGGTTACAGAGCGATATGCATCACTGCTGTCAAAATTTTAAGTAATATGTGATTCTCAATAATCATCAATACATCGGCTGCTGGGATTAATATTTAGTCGACGGCTGCATTTATCTAGGAGGTGGTGGAGGAGGCGGTGGATGCGATTTTGCAAATCCCACCCACGCAACGATGCCAACAGCCAGAATTACCCAGCCAAGAATGTCATACTTCAGATCACTGCTCTTCTTTTTCTTTTGAGTCTGCAAGTAATGAAACAGATCAGGGAAGCAAAATACAACCCAACTGTCTAACTTCACTCAACATCTCTTCTATTTGCTTTTTCTTTAAACAGCAAAAATATATGCCTCCAAAAATATATCCATTCAAAGGTAAAGTAGCTTTCCGGGACTGGTTTTGCATTAACAAGATGTCAACCCCATCCGTCTCAACCCCAAATGAGACGCATCAAAAGAAATAAGATTGCGTATTCAGCCTGATTCAGTCCTAGTTGAACCTCCCATCATGGTCCACAAATCAATAAGATAACCTCTTTTTGTTCTGTGCATGTCTTTTTTTTTTTTTGCCCCGGGGGGGGGGGTGATGTTAAGAAATAGAACCAATCCATTTAAAAAGCATCCCTAACAGCTTCAGGAAAACCCATTGATTGTGTATATGCAAGTAGCCACATATGGAATAATAATTACATGAACAGGTGTTCAAACTCAAATTAATAAATCTCAGTGCAAAACCGATTCTTTCGAACCTAAAACTGATACCACTCAGAAACTGCATGCCTGAACTATTAACTAAAAAACCTGATACAACACAATACATGGAGAGACAAAAGGAGGTCTTAAGTAATACCTTTGTGCTTGACGAAGAAGAGGGTCCAGCTGCCCCTGCTGCCTTCTCTGCAAATCCGTGCTTATGTATTTCTGCATGCAGCTCAGGCGCCTTATGAAAGACGTGTCAGTAGTCAAACATGTCCAGTGAATAGTTGATGAATATAACAAATTAAATTTCAGCAAAATCCATCAATCACTAGGGTTATATATTATTCAGCAGTAGAAAATACCTGCTGACAACAGAGAATCTGTTATGAAAAGTAAAGAAAGAGAGAGAGAGAGAAGGGAATGCGAAGAGAAACAGAGAGAATAGGGAAACTTTGAGAGAAGGGGGAGAGAGTAGAAGGCAATAGACGGAAGAGAAAGAGAGTTCCACTGGGTTGATCACAATACAGCACACTTACAAATGAGAGATAAGCCTGTTTATATAGGCAAAGTCCAGCTGCTAGTAACTAACTATTATTCTAACTAACTCATAATTCTGTTATTTATTTATTATAATATCATATCAATACCCCCTTCCCAAAGACCCTTGCCCTCAAGGGTCAAGGTACACAAAACCTTGCATCAACCTAGAGCTTTGAAGCATTTTGATTAACTTTCCCCTAAACCATATCCGAATTAAAATTCTTGTAGGGAAAACTTGAATATGAGAAATCCATTGCAACAACGAACTTGGGCCTTTTTCTTGAAAGATAAAGCCCATTTGCTTATCTGATATTACCAAATCCAGTGTACATCCAAAATGCTTCTATTGCTTAAACAAAGTGCAAGCCAGCTGTAATCCTCTATACGAAGGAATAGTGCTAGCTGTAGGCTGAACAGTGCTAGAAACAGGGTAATTTATCCAAAAGTTGCGTCTGCATCTCACCAACTGGGACCCACTGTCATTTGATGACTGTTTCCTATCCTCACACCTGTGTATGAGGTACCAAAAAGCCTGTAAACCTCCAACAAAGTGAAATATGGAAGACCTATTAACACCAGATGGCATTTTCACATTGTTTCTGGTCAATAGAGAGACGACACTTGAAGAAAGTGAAGAAGCCGAGTCCATCTTCGAAGAAACAGAGCCTGAAATAGGGTCAATGGGTTTCAAAACCCTTCCAGCTGCTATTCTCACACTTTCCCGCGTTCTTGGAGCTCGCCACTCAAAATTAATACCACGCCGGTAAAGCCCAACTCCGTTCGTACAAGTCTATAAGCCTTTGTTCTTCGTTGTCGCATGCAAGAACATCTGCATGGACACCCCAAGGTCATTCGAACTTGTCTTTGCTTCTTTGTTTTGCTCCATTGTGCGCGACATATTTCGTCCTAAGCCATAAGTTGCGAGCCCAAAGCTATTTGTACCTGTGTTTGCGTTGTTAGTCTCCCCTGACGCACTCGACGCACCTTGGGTAGGTTCAAGAAGACCCAGACTTCTTGTTCCTGTGATGTTACTGTCTTCACAAACATCTTGAGGACTCTTCTGTGGTTGGCCGTTGACATTGGACGATTCTTGCATTTCAAAGAATACCTCTTGGGCCTCGGGCTTCTTGCGCTTCCATTGCAACGTGAGCTCCTGCATTCTTGCGAGGCTTTTGGCTTCGCGCATCGTCCGAGGCATGAATAGACGTACTGGTCCAGTATAGTCATCTTGCAGCGCCGAGATGTAAGCATCAACCAACCATTCTTCAGGCAATGAGATTTTGGAGGAAATTGCATCAAATTCAGAATTAAATTCTGCCAAGGACCCTCGATGTCGAAGACGGAGCAGGTCCTTTTGTCTTATGATTTCTTGCAGCTGCGTGGACAAGCCAAGAAGGGCCTCTTTTAATTTATTAACGGAGCCTTGTATTCCATCGACTGAATTCAATTTTTGTTCGATGTTGAGGAGACGTTCCTCCATGGAACTTGAAATTGATTGGGAATGAGGGAGAAAGAACCGAGTAGTGGGTAGGGCCGAGGAAAAACCTGGCTCTGATACCACTGTTATGAAAAGTAAAGAAAGAGAGAGAGGGAGAAGGGAAAGCGAAGAGAAACAGAGAGAATAGGGAAACTTTGAGAGAAGGGGGAGAGAGTAGAAGGCAATAGACGGAAGAGAAAGAGAGTTCCACTGGGTTGATCACAATACAGCACACTTACAAATGAGAGATAAGCCTGTTTATATAGGCAAAGTCCAGCTGCTAGTAACTAACTATTATTCTAACTAACTCATAATTCTGTTATTTATTTATTATAATATCATATCAGAATCTTACAACAGTTTGATTAAATTGTTTAACATTTATGCGGCACAATCCATATAGCCAGATTAAGCCTAGTTATATATATAAGTATTAAAATCCATTAAGTCAAAGCATGGTCGCTCACACCACAACATACACTACTGCAGATGTAAGAGCCACTTCACATAATTCCAAATAAGAGTTAAGAGATACAATGTACAATACTCTACATTCAATGTTGTACATGCTACGCATTTGATGTAATATTTATCATTTATCGGTAAGATTTGAGAATCATAACACCAACCTAGCCACTCTAACTAGCTTTCAGTTTCAGTTTTCTTCTTTAAAGAAAGATGGATAACCATATGAAACAGTGTGACCATCTATCAAAGTGTTATAGAGAGATATTGTGCCTAAAATTATTTAAAAATTAAAAAGGAAAAGGAAAAGATGAGATTACGTCAGCAAGGAGACCTAAATATAATAACAGGGCATGTATAATACAGAACATACCTTAGCAGCCACTTCTAGAGATTTCCGGTACAGTTCATTTTCTGGTTCCTATAAAGAAGAAGATTACTACTTTACCCGTTACATTGGATGTAATGTATTAACATCAACACAAGACTGAAAATGTACCTCTTCAACAGCTCGCTGGAAGTACTCAGATGCCTTGTTAAAACAAATTTTTGCCTCCTCCTGATCCGGATTTACAAAGGCATCGGATGTATAGGCATTTCCCAGGCACCAAAGTGTATCATGCTTCTTGGGATTAACCACTAATGCCTCCTCGAGCTTTGAAATTGCATCTTCAAATCAAGACCCAGAATGAGGATTCAAAATCGGAGGTTTATCGGCAATACTTGATATTGTAAAGAAATTCAAGAATTTAAAAACAATGTGCAACAAATGATGCCTCCTCAGTCTAACAGAGAGTCAGAGTGTCAAGAGTTCAGGCTGCAAAAAATGCATGTCACTTTTGGAAATCAAAAATAAAAATCTTGTCCCATCAATAAAGACTTCGGCATCTGGTTTGAACCTTGGATCATC